CACCAGGAGGGTTTATGGAGGTGCGTGGAGAGTGCCCCCCACCCGGCTTGGCTCACGGCAGAGACTGAGGCTGTTGTCATCGTGGCTGTCACCCTCGGCCCCACAGCATGGGGCTGGCTGGCACGGTTTCTCCCTCGCCTCCAAAGCTCGAGCGCTAGCTGGACCCTTCCCAGAGCATTGGGGCCATCAGGATGCACGCTGCAGACGACGCGGCGAACACCGTCCTCCCAGCACCGAGCCAGGGTGCGCCCCAGCGGGGGCACAGGAGAGCCGTCTGCCGAGCTGGTGCCACCTGTGATTAACAGTCAAGTCACAACGTTATGCAAATGCCAGTGGGTCATGGGCACACGCTGTTAACACGCCTAGGCTGGCGCTGCTTAGAGCCTGGGATTGGCAAGTCTGAGCTCACTTGACTGCAGACTCCTGGCCATGCAGGCTGTGGGCTGCCGAAAGGAGGCTCATGCCAGGCCCAGGAGAGGCTGGGGACGGCTGTGACAAGCCATTGCCACCGAGTCCTGGTGGAAACACGGCAATTGGCATTCGTTCCAGCAGGCTGAGGCTGGTGCAGTGTTTTCCTGTCTAAGGAAATCTGGGTGTGCTGGGGCGGGAGAGATGCCAGAGACTCCCCCTCGGCCAGGGGTGGGCGTGTCTTACGGCTCGTGTTGCAGCTGAGCTCAGGCTGGCACCGATTTCCATCCGGCTGCTGCCGCCTCGCAGGTCTGCTGCTGCCCATGTACGGAGGCGTGTGCCCAGTGCCACACGCCCCACTTAACGATGGGGGACAATGTCAGGACCCACAGCCTAAGAGCCAGAGCGCACCTGTGCTGAGCAGGTGGCCCTCCCTCTGCAGCGAGGGGGACGCGCACCCTGGGGAACCCGGCGTCTGGGCGAGGGGTGTTCGCAGGCCTGACGGTCGCAGGGGGCCAGGGAGGCGGGGAAGCGGCTGGGTTCTGGGCCGTGCTGTCAGGAGGTGGGTCCTGCCGCCAGTCACTGGACGGTCACAGCGCAGGCTCCAGACGTGTTAACGTGGGGCCACAAAGCACTTTATCGCACCCGCTGGCCTTTCCCAAGGAGAAGACGCCCCACGGAGCTGGCACACTGAAGTGGGAGCTGAAGTTGTCAAATGGCGGCCGAGGAGTTGGCACTCCCCCGAGGCCTGCAGCTGGAAGGCGGGGGACGAAACCGCCGGGTGTCGCGTTCTCCCAGGCGCATGTGCCGCTCCCGCTCTCACACCGCACGCCCTCGCTGGCCTTCGCACCCCACCTGGCCCGAACGCCTGGCTCCCTGCACTCCCCTCACGTGGGGCCCGCGCCTGCCCCAGGCCGGGGGGCCCTGGGCTCCCTGGCTGAGCTGGGCGGTCGTCGTCAGCGCCCCCTGCCTGGGGCTCCCTCAGGGCCCAGGGCCTGGTCTCGTTCGTTCACTGCCCGGCCCAGTGCCCAGCCCAGGTCCTGGCACAGGTTCAAAGCAGCGTGAGATCTGGCGAGAAGTTTTGAGGACGTTGATGTTGAAAACAGGGAGGTGTCACGGCCCAGAGGAGGAGGCGTGTGCACATGCAGGGGTGCGGCTCTGCCCCACCTCCCGGCTCTGCTTCACCCCCACCCTGAGCCCCGCCCTGGGCTGACCCCTGCCAGAGTCGGTTATGGAGCTGTCACCACTCTGGGCCGTGAAAAGAATGCCGTGTTTCGTTAGCCCACTTAGAATACGTCCCGTGCGAGTTCACCGTGCGAGGCCCAGGGTGGCAGGGGCAAGGCTGCCGTAGAGCAGACACTCACTGGGACGTCGGGGCTTCTGCTCAGCACCCCTAGCTCTGACCCCTGGACAGCCCACTGGCAGCCGCAGCTTCATTTCACTCTAGAAACGGTCGGGAGCCACTTAGCAAACACACACGCGGCTGTGTGTTTGTCCATCTCCGCCTCCAACCATGTAGGATGAGAGTAAGAAGAAAGATTGTTCTTCGCCGGATATCACAGTTGCAATTTCAGAAAAGCAGTGGACACGCGGCCACCAGGGAGAGCAAACACAGGATCGAGGGGTGTGCGCGCTGCACAGAGGGACGTCCCGCCCGGCTGTGCCATGCCCGGCCTCAGCACTGGGCCCACCTCTCTCCTGGCAAACCCGTGACGCTGCTGGGACCGGTGCTGCCTCTGGGGCGGAGGCGCCCACGCCGGCGGGTGCCCCGGAGCAGGCGGGCGGTGGGGTTACTGTGAAGGGTAACGTCATTTGCAGGTGCCCAAAGTGTCAGGGACTGCTCCTTGTTCCTCTCACGGGTCCTTGGACAGGTTGCCTCCGGGGACCAAAATTCTAGAGGCCTGTGTGTGCGCACATTTAGGTAAATGTTGAAAAATATCTTCATAATAAGGCAAAAGCTGATCATAGTCATTTAATCTTTGTTAAAAGCATCACAAATGATTTATTGATTTTTAAAAAGGAAAAATAAGAGAATGCACCGCCGCTGTTATGTGCATATACCAGTATGTGTGACCCGATCCCGTGACAAGGGCGCCAACACCGATGGCCTCTGATGCCAGGTGCCTGGGGATTCACCTGGACGCCACATATGCGGAACTTCAGGCTTATCACCAGGCAGACCCACAGGCCTACAACTCGATCTATGCGGCTATGCAGACAGGAACGAATTGGGTTATATCGGATGCCACCACATTCCCAGGTTCTCGGGGCCACACACCCGAAATGTTCTTAATAGAAATAATAACATAAAATACAAGAAAACCACAAGTAACTAAGGAAAAAACCCTACCCAAACAGCTGAGAGCATTAACTCGCGTGGTGAAGGGAGGTCAGAGACCCACAGCTGGTTCCCGCAGGCACTGGTGAGGCTAAAGAGGGTGGAGGAAGGCCACTCCAGGGACCCTGTGCTGCCCTTGGACCTGGGGCCTGAACTGTGCTACAGACTGTCCCTGTGTGTCTGACGCCTGCTGGCGGTGGTGACCGGCTGGGGGACAGGTGCTGGGTGGGGGGGCTAGTAGGATGCCCATCTCTGCAAATGTGCCCTTAGAGATTGCCAGCAAGTGAGTGCGGAACGTGGCAAAGGTCCCGGAGAGTCACAGCTTCTCACTGGCACTGGCCCTGCCAGCCCCATGTCCCTGGATGCCCTGTCCCCAGGAAGACCCTGAGGACAACTTGCAGGGTGACCTCTGGAGGAGATGGTCCAGGAGCCCCAGCTGGTGGGCAGGCAGGGTGGGGAGAGAGATTTGAGTCCAGCTGAGACGCCTCCACCCCTTGCTAACCCTAACCCTAACCCTAACCCTAACCCTAACCCAAACCCTAACCCTGGTTGTGTGGCCCAAGTGGCTCTAACCCTAACCCTAACCTTAACCCTAACCCTAACCTTGGCTGTGTGGCTCGAGTCCCTGTGGTCCCTGTGGATTTGGAGTCCCCACCTGGACCCCATGGGTCACTCACTCAACAGAGGTGGAGTGCCTCCTCCATGTGGCACTGTTGTGGGTGCGAGGGCTCATCCCGGGCCCCTCCACTAACGGGTCCTGCTTCACTTCTGGGGAAAATGGGTTAAGGCCCCCTAAGCTCTGCCATGGGGCACAGGAGAACGTCTGCACCTTCACTCAGATTCCCTGGCCAGCGAGTCACTAGCCTGGACTCCAGCGGCGTTCCCCACCTCCAAGAGAGAGAGAGGGTGGCCATGGCCACCAAGAACCCTGCTGGGAGAGGGGAAGGGGAGGGGGAGGGGGAGGGGTGAGGGGAAGGGAAGTACTGACTTCCCGTTTCAAGGCAAAAGGTGAGCTCCCCCACGTTCCGTGTCTGGACGTGCATTAGCATCCCTGATTCTAGGCAAACTGGGTGAGTGGGCCTCGTGTTGCGCTGGGGAGCAGAGGTCTGGTTCTGGACACCTCTGCTACTGTCTTGTTGTGACCTTGGGAAAGTCACTCCTCTCCCTAGGCCTCAGTTTCCCCTTCTTCTAAATGAGGGGCATGCTCCTGACAGCACTTCCAGCTGTGCCATCCTAACCCCTCCTGGCCTGGTCTCCACACGGGTCCTCAGGCGATAAGGAGGTGCATCCGGGGGCTGCCCCCACCTGCCCACCCTTCTGGGGGTTACTGTCTCCTTCCAGGGTGGGGAGGGCCCGTTGGGTGGGAAAAGCCCCAGGGGCTCCCCCTGCTGGCGGAACAAGGACCTGCAGTGCTGATTCCCTGCGTCCACCCCTGCCCCATCCCCTGGGGAAAGCAGGGCCAGCGTCTGGGTCTGGGTCGGGAGGGCGCCCTGGGCATTCCAAGAAAGGGGCTCCCTAGAAGGGGGCTCTGACAAAGCAACCCAGATGCCACTGCTTGGCCATAGAAATAGAAAGTTGAACCCCTCACACTCCACGCAGCCAGCTACCTAGAGAGGTATTTACACGTCTGCAGTTTAACGGGAGGTGGGACAGCAGACCCTGGAGGGTGGTGACAAGAGGGCCTGGCTCAAGGCATCCAGGGCTTTGGAGGGGCATTGGCCGCCCGCAAAGGGATGGTGGAAGGACGAGGGAAGCAAAGTCCGGAAGGGCCCAGGGGCCCTGCAGGGACAGGTGCCTCAGTGCCAAGTGTCTGAGTGGGTGGCAGTTCTTGCAGCGGGGGCAGCAGCTGGGCTGCCTGCCCAGGCTCCAGGATGGACCGACCTCAGCCAGAAGTCAGGCCAGGCCTTGGGCCTGGTGACAGCACGTGGGGCAGCCAGGGCAGCCTGTGTGGGGTCCAGGGCAGAGCCTGCCTGAGGTGGGCCTGGTGTCCCCCAGGCAGGCCTGGTGTCCCCACCGTAAGCCTGGCACCCCAGAGGGGCAGAGTTTGGCTGCACTCCAGGGGGTCCTGTGGGCCCGGGTGGGCTTGGATTGATCAGAGGGAGGAGTGCCTGTCGCCTGGCGTGGGCACAGCTGAAGGAGGGGGCTTTTCCACAGGTTTCTGAGGGGATGTTGGTCCAGCTGCCGGCTTCGCTTGTGGCTATGTGTCCTCCATGGGGGGTGGAACGACGAAGAGTGGTGTGGGCAGGTCTGGCCATCAGCTCACCAGGTAGCTGTGCATCTCGCGGGAGTTGATGCTCAGGACCACGCCAGAGTGGTTGCCTAGGAAACAGGAGAGATGTGCCGTAAGCACACACCCTCAGCTGGGGTGCAGGGAAAAGGGCCGAGCGGGGACATGGTAGTGGCCTCAGCCAGTGCATCGAGCCCATGTGCAGGGGGCATCCCTGGGGCCCCTCAGCCCGTGCCAGGTGCAGGAGGGGTGACTGAGGAGTGGACTCCCCGGTGCTGTTGCTAGCGGTGGACCCTGAGGGAGGGTCTGTGAAGTGAGGTCCAGGCCAGTCCCCGCTGTGCCCACTGACCTGCACAGGGACCTCCGGCATGGACAGCAAGGGGGCACGGGAGGGACTGAGGCTTCGCCCCGTCCTGGTAGTGGGTGCTGTAGGGCGCGGCATGGCAAGGCCCGGGAGGCGAGAGCAGGAGAGAGGGGCACAGTGATGTCAGAGACAAGGGGCGAGTGGGGTCCTGGGGCCTTTCAGGGCTGAGCCTGGGCTTCACTGTCTCAAGCTCAAGGGTGACGGTGGCGCCCTGGGAAGGCCTGTCTGTGGGGTTGTGCGAGAAGACGCACCTACAGCATTTGGGCAATGCCTGTGCACACTGGGGCTTGATTAAAACAACCTAGTAGTGCCACGCCGCTGTTACTCTTTAGGGGCTCGAAAGCAGAGAGCTGTAAGAGGCCGGAGAGCCAGCCCGTCTTCCTGCGAGGACCCCCGTCCACTGGGGAAGGCCTGGGTCCTCGCAGGGTGTGCCGCCTCCTTCTCGTGGGGGCCAGCGGTGGGGGGTCCTGGGTGCAGGGCGCTCACCCCAGCCTGGGGACACTCAGGCTGTGAGCCGAAGACCTGGTCCACCCCGGCTCCACCCCTGGTCAGCTAAGCTGAGGACCTCAGCTTTCCCATCTGTAGAATGGACACAAAGCCAGTGTCTGCCCCATGGGGCCCAGACGGTGCTGAGCGGGGCCTGGCTCCCAGCAAGTGCTCCGCAAATGACAGCTGCGGTTCTTGCTGTGCCCCCAGGCTATAGACACATCCCGAGGTGAGGAACACACCTGGCCAGTGGATGTGGGGCGATCGGCCGCAGTGTGGACGCCAGGGGCCCCCAGCATGGCTGGGGAGGGCGGGAGGAGGAGTGACCAGCCAGTTCCATTCAGCTCCCCGACCACTCTCAGGGGAGAGCGAAGGTCATAGGTCTTGGGGTCGGGCCCACCTGGGGCTGGGCCCAAGGTCATCCACCGTCAGCCGTGTGGCCCTGGGTGAGCGGCTCACCTCTGTGTCCCTTTCAATACTTTAAAATGCGAGGACAGTGATTCCCACTCCTCACAGTGCTGGGGGTGTGTGGGTGCAGGACAGGAGTGACTTCTAAAGCCGGAGAACGATGACTGCGGCCGCCCATGGCAGGGCTCTGGCGGAGCCTCCTGAGCACCGGGCTCTGCTCGGCGGGAGCCAGTGTCCCCCCACAGCCAGTGCAGACGGGAGTCGCAGGGCAAAGGTCGGGGCTCTGGGGCCTGCCTAGATGGGAGCTCCAGCTCCCCACGGGCTGGACCTTAGCAAGGATGGTTCATCCCTGTGCCTCGATTTCCTCACCTCTGGAAAAGAGCCTGCCTCCCTGCTGCGGAGCTGAAACCGCCGTGGAAGGCACCCTCTCAGCCCAGCACCGGCTGTGCTGCCCGACGCAGGGGCTCTGCCAGTGAGTCTCAGACCCTCCCAGGACTCAGTTTCTCCACTTTTTCAGAGGAAGAGCGGCAGACCATCGTGCTGGATGGTCTCGTGCTCCGCATACGGTGTGGCATGGCCTTCCCCGCCAAGGGCGGAGTCTGTTCCCCTCCGCTTGAACGTGGGCAGACCCACAGAGCAAGAAGCAAGCGACAGGGCCTGACTCCGAGGCTAGGTTGTGAAGGGGAGGCAGCCCCCGTCTGGCGGCTGCTCTCTCCATTCAAGCTCAGAACTCAGCTGCCATGTTGCGAGGAAGCCCAAGCCACACGGAGGGGCCACGTACGGGTGTTCTGGTGACAGCCCCAGGTGCGGTGCTAGCTGACCACCTGCATTAATGGCCAGGCGTGAGTGAGGAAGCTCTGAGACCACTGCAAGCCCGCCATTGACTGCATCGTCGTGAGCCGCCCTGAGAGAACCGCCTGGCTGAGGCCAGTCGATCCCCAGAAACCGCGAGAGAAAACGGCCATAAATGATGGCGTTACACCACGGAGATGGGTGGTTTGTCGTGCGGCCATAGACAACGTGACTGTGCTCTCCCACTGTGCGTGGCTGGGGTGAATGTGATCGTGCCAACGAAAATGCTGTGCAAACTGTAAAGCGCTGTGCTGTATGTCCGTGTGTGAGATGCTCACTAAGTCCTCACTGCCATGAACAGCAGGGGTGGCTGTGGAAAAGGCTGCAGTAGCCTCGGGGAAGCCAGCCCTGTTTCCATGCTTTCCCTGCCTCGGTGGGCCGCACAGGGCTGTTTAGTCGTTGCCAGGCACACTGCCCTCAGCTACCACAAGGCCCCTGAAATAGTCCCTTCAGGCAGCCCTGGGGGATCCCGTCACCCACGTCTGATGGAGGGGATGCAACAAGTCTGCCTGGCTTGGTGTCCCAAGCCCCTGCTGGCCCCAGGCAGCCAGGTGGGTGGCCTGCGGGAGGGTGGGGGCGGGCATTACCTAGACTCTGCAAGTCGAGATGGTCATCTACAAACCCCTCACCCTGGATGGCGCTCTGGACGTCCTCGCCGTGGCCCATGGGGCTTGTCATTTCCTGTTCCTTCTCGTTGTGCATCTGGGCATACACGGTCCTGCCTGGGCGTTTCCTGTAGGATGGGGGGAGGGGCAGGGCACTCAGCTCAGGGCAGCCAGCCCAGCCTCCTGCTCTGGAACCTCGGTGGGGCCCCAACACCTTCCAGTATGGTGCCTGGTGCAAGTATGCTCCAGAGGCACCTACACCAACCCTGAGTCTGTCTCCTGCCCTGCACACAAAACCACCTCCTCCGGGAAGCCCTCCCTGGTGTGCTCTCTCAGCCCTAGATTTTCCTCTGCCCTGACAACTGGTGATCGCTGTCTGCTTGTCCATCTCCTCTCATAACTGGCCCCAGGGTGCGCTGCGGGGAGAGGGCCTCATACTTTCCTTTATCTCCCCACCGTCCGGCGACCTTGACTGCGTTGGTGCACATTCCCACACCACGTGCAAGGCTGGCCGCTCTGAGAGGCGCCAGCTGAGCCCTGTCTGGGCTTCCCAGGGTCACGCTGTTCTCGATTCTCTTCCCCTCCAGGCGCCAGGGGAAAGGGAGGTGGCAGGCACGGCCCCTCTGTCTCCCCTGAGACTGGGCACAGGACCCCAGTTAGTCCAATCAGAACCCAGAAAAGGGTGGTGGTCCCATTTCACAGATGAGGGGACGGAGGCTCAGTGGGAGAGGAGAACCTTCTCTGATGCGCTGACAACTGCCGGCTCTGGAGACAGTCTGATGGCAGGATGGGGAGGGGCAGGCCCTGTGACTAGCTCTGTGCACTGAGGGTGACTGAAGGTGGCCTGTGTCACCCTCATCCTGGAACACTTAAACACGGGATTTAAATGCCAGAAGTTGCCTGCCCTGTGTGTCCAGACTCCTGAGAGACACGGGGCAAGCCCCTGCCAGTCCCCAGGGGACATGTGGCTTGAGTAATGGACCCTTGGTGGTTGTGAGCTTCTGAGACATGGGGTTGTTTGTTACAAAGCCAGCCCAGCCTGTGCTGACCACCGCACTGCCACTGGGCCTGGGCTGCGAGGGCCTGAGGCCTCAGGATGCTAGAGCCAAAGGGGTGTTTCTCTGTGCTGCCCTGGGTGGGCCTGGAGTGGTGGGGACACGCTTACCCTATAACTGTGCTCCCCATTTCCACGGTGACACAGGCACAGACTGACTCAGTGAGAGGCCTGCGTGTGCTGGCGCTGGGCCGACCACTGGCGCCCTTGCCTGTCTCTGGACACCTTCAAGGCCCCTCAAGGCCCCCACCCTCCTCCTCCCACCCACCGGGCGTGAGTTGGGGCCAGGGCATTCAGGCTCTTTACGCAGGTGCAACAAACCCGGGGCATTTGTAGATGCCACAATCTGGCCCTCGGTGGCCTGAGGATGGGGAGAAAGGTCACTTACAGAGACCAGAGTCTGTCCCTGCCGTGGTCTCCCTCCCTGCTTCCGACCTTGCCTGGCCGAGCCTGCCTTCCCCTCCTGGGGCAGCGAGCCACCTCTGCAGCCGGCTGTCCCGCTGCCCCACATTTCCCAGGCAGGCGGGGACCAAGCCCAGATGACACTGATGCTCAAGGGGGAGAGATCCAGGGTGAGGACAGCGCCAGCATCGGCCTCCCACACGGCACTGCCTGGGAGAGGCGCCTCCCCGCCGTTCTCTCCCACAGCATAGGGGCGCCGGGCCCCCGCGCCTGCGAGGGCCTGCCTGAGTCCCGATAAACGCGTAGGGTGATGCAGAGAAGGCACAGGGGACGCCTGTGGGACCTGCAGTTTTGCTCCTCTCCCCTCTCCGCCCTCCCTCGTCTTCCCCTCCTCCTCTTCCTCCTCCTCATCATCTGCTCACCCTGGCCCTGCTCCTTCCGAGGCCCCTTTTACAGATGAGGAAACTGAGGCTCAGAGCCTCAGAGCTGGGCGCAGGGCAGAGGCGAGGCCCAGGTCTCTGGGACTGACTCTGTCCTCTCCCGCTGCCCTGTGGTTGAACAGGGTCCTTGGGAGCCAGTGTGGAGGGTGCTCGGTGCAGGCCCTGAAGGGGCAGAGATGGCTCGCTCTTGTCTCGTTAGCCTGTAGGAAAGTGCCCCAGCAGGCACCTGTCGGGCAGCCAGTGCCTCTGCGAGCTCGGAAACCAGGAAAGGCCACAGCCTGGACCCTGCTTCATCTCTGCCCTGCAAACTCCTACTCATCCTTCAGGATCCCCACCAGAAATTGCCTCCTCAGGGAAGCCCTCCGGGTGCTCCAGAGCAGCTCAGGCCGCCAAGTAACCAGGCAGGTAACAAGCTGCTGAACACGCTTCCAGTCCCCCTGTGTCTCCAGCACCTGGGCCAGTCCCTGGCACCAGGGGGCGGGGGGTGTTGTGCACACATAACCACTGCTTATAAGACAAGAGGTGCACAAAGGACAGAGGCAGCGGGGGTGAGAGGTCCAGGGCCAGGGAAAGGGCGGGGCTGGGGGCAGGGCCCTCGGCTCCAAACGAGCACTAGGAAAGCGTGAACCATCTCCTTTTGTGGTCCTCAAGGGTGACCCTGACCAGGAGATGGAGGCCCCTGGAGCTGACCCAGCCGTGGGGGTCACGTCTGGAGGCCGCATTTGCAGGGAAGGAGTCTGGTGATGCTGCCTGGTCACTGTTACTCATTCCTAGCTCCAGAGCCTGGGTGAGCTCAGACTGACCGGCCCATGCCACATGGCCGTGACTCCTCCCCATGGGGCGGCTGCTCAGCCCATTTAGAGATAAGGACCAGGCTTGGAGGGAGGAGGGGTGCCGAAGCCCGTCAATAAATGCCCCCCGTCCTGCTGCCCACCAGTCTTGGCATGAGCCCCCGTCTGCTCCCACCCGGGGTGTCCCCAAGCAGCTCTGTCTGGACACCCTGGAGCCTCTCCCGGTGGAGGACCTGGTACAAAATGCCACACGCAGGGAATGGCTGGACTGGAGCCGAGGAAGCACAGATGGGGCCAGGCCTGTGTCAGCTATGTGACCTTGGGCAAGTTACTTAACCTCTCTGAGCCTTGGTTTCCTCATCTGTGAAATGGACCATGTCCCTCCCGTGAGGGTGAGGATGGGTTGAGCTGCACGAGCTGATGGCTGAGATGCCCAGGCAGAGTGGAAGGCATGGGTGCTGGCTGGGTGGTAGGTCGCTGCTGTCACTTCCAGGGACCCGCAAGAGGTACAGAACCAGGGAGGGGCTGGGTGGCCAAGCACCTTCCCTGCCGCAGCCCATCAGAGGTCAAACTCACACCACCTCCTTCCCAGCTCTGGGGGGAAGCCATTGCCTGGGGGGCCCTTCCAGAGTTGCCCGTGAGAGTGAGCCGGGCCTGGCCCGCGTGCAGCCCCCGCCAGAGCCCGCTGGGTGAGGGCAGCGGGGGCCTTGCCTTTTGAACTTGTAGAGGATGAACGCGCCCACCGCGAACAGCCCGATGACAAACAGCACCGCCACGGCCCAGTAGCCGCCGCCGCCGCCTCCCGCCAGCCGCTGGGATTCTGCAAGCGAAGCAGCTGTTAGCGACGGCTGTGGGCCCCGGCCAGCCTGGCCCGTGGACGCAGGATGTTTCGCACCGGCGGGGGATGGGGGGCTCTCCAGTGCTGCTGAGACGGGATGGCGGGACACAAAGGACCAAGGGGCTTGTGCTCTGCGGCCTTGGAGGATCCCCTGCCCCTCGGCCCGACTCCTATGTGCTAGTCCTTCCTCTGCGGCGTGGCCAACGCCCTTTCTACTTCTGCGCAGGCGTGGCACGCACCTGCCACGTCTCCTAATGAGCACGGTGTCTTCACAGAGGAGAAAAAAGCTCTTCAGCTTATGGGGCAGCAAAGTGTCCTGCCCCAAAGGGGAAGGACACACAAGTGACTGAGAGGACAGTTCCACGGAGGGGTCGGGGGCAGAGGTCATCTGAGACGCTGAGCATCGGTATCAAGTCAGATAAGAGCTCCGTGTGCATCTGCGAGAGGAGAGCGCAGCCCTGGGTCTGACCTGGCTGGGGACCAGTGGCTTTCCTTGGAGGCGCGTGCCCACCAGGAGCAGCATGCAGGCAGTGCCCGAAGCCCTACAGTGATGCACCTTGTCCCGGGGGCCAGGACGCACACCCTCCCATCCTACAGGGGGACGCAGGCCAGGCCGAGGGCTCTCACCTGTGTCTGTGTCCCTTGGGGCCACCAGGACCCGGACCCCACCTTGCAGGAGGAAGCTGATCTTCTGTGACTTCAGCACCTGCTGGATGGCCACGAGTCTCTGAAAGCACAGAGTAGGGAGTGGGGATGGGTACCCAGGGAGAGCTGGGCAGACAGGCTGGAGCCATGGGTCTGGGGGGACACTCAGCCTCCCTGAGCCTCAGTGTCCTTATCTGTAAAATGGGAATAATGGCCCATCAGCCAACTTTCACCAAGAACCACTGATGGGACACAAAGCTGACCCAGATGTGGTCCTGTCCTCAAAGAGCTCACATTTTAGCAGGGAACAGGTGTAAGAGAGACAGGCCCTGGAGTGTGTAAATCTGGGGACATGCAAGGCTGCTACAGGAGGCCCCCCCAGCAGTGGGCAGGGAAGGCTTCCAGGGTGTGGAAGACCGAGAAGAGGACATGAGGGGGCAGATGAATCAGACTCCGCCCCAAGGAGGGATATCCCGGGAGGTGCTGCTGGATTGTGGGGTGGTGGATGCAGGTGGGGGGTGTCCGTGGCTGGAAGGGTGGTGGCTGGACAGCAGCCAGCCTCGTGGACCACGGGCACCCTCCTCCAGGGTCGGTGTGACCTGACAAACACAGGAGGTGCCTGGTGCACAGTAGGGCTCTCTCCTGTCCCTCTCATCCCTTCGTGTGTCCCCAAGCACTAGTCACCATGCAGGGGCTGGGCTGGCTTGGACACTTGGCTCTTGCCACACTTGTCATCTCTGTCCTTTCGCTAACAGGTGCGAGGGGACATCTCATTGTGGTTCTAATCTTCAGAGGAAGATCAGCCACATTTAGCATTTTCACATACCAGTTGGCCATTTGTGTGTCTTCTTTTGAGAAATGTCTATCCAGGTCCTTTGCCTACTTTTTAATCGGGTTAGTTGTTTTCTTGCTATGGAGTCGTTTGAGTTCCTTATGTATTTTGGATATTAGCCCCTGCTGGGTGTGTGGGTTTTAAATATTTTCTCCCACCCCAGGCTGTCTCTTCATGCTGATCCTTGCTGCCGGGGCTGCGCAGGCTCTGAGTTGGACGTAATCCCATTCGTTTATTTTTACTCGTGTTGCCTGTGCTTTTGGGGTTGTGTCCAAAACATCATTGCCCAGGCCAGTGTCGTAAAGTTTTCCCCTGTTTTCTTCCAGTAGTTTTACAGTTTCAGGTCTTATGTTTCAGCCTTTATTTCACTGGAGTCGATTTTCGCATGTGAAGTGAGATAAGGGTGTACTGCTACTCTTCTGCCTTGGAATATTCAGTCTCCCGGCACCGTTCACTGAGGAGATTCTCTTTTCCCCACTGCGTGTTCCTCACACCTTTGTCTAAACTCTGACTGTAAGTGTGTAGCGTTACTGTCGGGCTCTCTGTTCTGTTCCCTTGGTCTATGTGTCTCTTTTTACACCAGTCCCATGCTGTTCTGGTTACTATAGCTTTGTAGTATATTTTGAAATCAGGTGTGTGAGGCCTCCAGCTTTTTTCTTTTTGCTCAAGATTGCTTTGTCTATTCCAGGTCTTTTGTGGTTCCACACAAATTTTAGGATGTTTTCATGAAAAATATCATTGGAATTTTGATAGGGATTGCATTGAGTCTGTAGATCACTTTGGGCAGCACAGACATCTCAATAATACGAATTCTTCCAATGCATGAACATAGGATATCTTTCCATTTATTTGTGTCTTCTTCAAACGTTTTCATTTGTGTTTTATAGTTTTCAGTGTACGGGTCTCTCACCTCCTTGGTTAAATTTTATTTTATTTTATTTTTATTTTTTGGATGCTACTGTGAATGTGCTTGCTTTCTTGATTTCTTTGGAGGACGGGCTGTTGTCAGTGTGTACAGATGGTACTGATTTTATGTCTCTGGTTCTTCCTGACGGTGGCCCTCACCCAGCCTCATTTCTTTTGTCTGTGAAATGGGCCTCTGAGCCCCACGGGGTTTTGGGGTGTGTGCCGCCCCACCTCGGGGCTGCCACTCTTTCCTGATCACCTGAGAGAGCATCGGTCTCCACGAATAGTCCAGAGGCTACATGAGCTTCTAGTTTATGTTTTAGGAATTGATATAAAATTTATTCTTTTAAAGTGTATAACTCAATGCTTTCTAATATGTTCCCAAAATGTGCAACTGTTACCATATCTAATTCCTAGACATTTTCATCACTTCCGAAAGAGGCCCCTACCCGTTAGCAGGCACCCCCGCTCCCCTCCCCCGGCCCCGGCACCTCTCCTCTGTCTCTCTGTAGAGTGGCCTGTTCTGGACATTTCTGGATCAGATATTAATAATATATAGTTTTCTGTGACTGGCTTTTTTCACTTAACACAAGGTTTCCAAGGTCATCGCGCCATAGCAGGCGTCGGCACTTCGCTGCTTCTGTGGGCAAAGACTGTCGCGTCGTAGGGACAGACCGCGTTTCGTTTCTCCGTCGTAGGCTGAACGTCGGGCTGTTTCCACTTTTTGGCTCCAACGAATGACTACCGGGAACACCGTTCACATGTCGTGGTATGGACGGATGTTTTCGTGTCTCTCGGGTGGGCACCTAGGAGTGGGACTGCAGGTCACTTGTAACTCCAGGGGTCACTTACCGAGGAACTGCCACACTGTCCTTTGTGGCGGCCACACCACTCCTGCCTGCAGCGTGAGGTGCTGACTTCTCTGCTTCCTCGCCGGCACTTGGGACTGTCTGCTTTTTAATTCTAGCCACCCTAGTGGGCACGACGGGATTATGCTCCATCTTTGAGTCCTCTTCCCACACCTGTCACCCAGCAGGTCTGCCACCCCTCCACGAGGGCTATCTGGAAGTTGTCCCATGCAATACGACGTCTGCTCACTGCACGGGGGCTGAGCTCTGCTCTGTCCTGAGACCTGTGCCCAGGTGTCCTCCTGCACGGTGCTCACCCTCGCTTCCCAGCACCCCTTGCAGGCAGGCTGGGGCCATGTGACCAGCTCTGGCCAATGACATGGGAGAGGGCATGGGCGCATCTGCTGGGCCCCCTGCCCCTCACTCCCTGTGTGACAGTGACTTTGGAGGCTGGTGGCTTCCAGGGCATGACCACAAGGTGGAGGGGCCAGTGCCCTGAGTCGGATCACGATGTGGTGAGAATAAGCCTTCATGTGATGAGCCCTGTAGAGGTCCCTGTTGGGATGACACCAAGCCCTCGCCTGTGCGGGGAGGACATGGCCACAGGACATACCTTGTCACTTGTGAGGCTCCTCTTCCTGGTGGGCCTGGGAGGGGGAAGGAGCACATACAGGTCAGCTAAGGTGGGCAGCCCTGGCTTCACCACGGTCACCAGCAGCTCTTCGGGGACGCCGGTCTCCTGTGGGGACAGGCAAGCCACTTTGATCCGCCTGTCTTCCTTGTCTCCTGTCACATGCCGGGCCCCCAACGAGCACCTTCCTCCCCTCTTGGCCTGTCTGAGTCCTGGTCATCTGTCCTGCAAGCCCTTCCCGACCCCTGCATGCCATGGGATGGCTCCTGCGCCACCTCCTGCACCCAGGCTCCTGCCTGGGTTTGGGCCTTTGCCGCCCACACCAGCCTCCCCGTGGCCAGGCCTGCCCTGTGCCACAGTCCTTACACAGGCCTGCCCTGTGCCAGTAAGAGCAAGGCCCTCCCTCGCTAACGTCCTCCCGGACACTGGGGCGAGTCAAGGCTCCTCGCCACAGCACTCTGGGCCCACCGCCTGGTCCCCAACTCCAGCTGCCTCCCACTGTCTCTCCCCACCATCCCAGGCCCGGCCACGGCCACATGCCCACGTGCAGCTCCCTCACCCATAAGGCACTGCTCATGTGGGGCCCTCTGCCTCCTGGAAGTCCCACTCTACGCACTTTCATCCTGCAAACTCCTATTCACCCTTAGTGCCCAGGACAGTTTTACCAGCATTGTTCACAGGATGAGGGAAAGCATGGCCAGAGTGGCCCTCAGCCTGCGACGGCCATAGAGGGCCCTAGGGACTGGTCTTTCTCTCACTGGGGAGCCAAAGCCCTCGGGTGTCCTACTGTCCGCCTGATGTCTGCCTCTGTCAGCTCCCTGAGGGGTGTGGTCACATCTGATCTCTCTGTCTCCAGTGTCCGGCCCAGAAACAAAATTCAGTGAACAAATGATAATCACTTTAAAGAGACTCTGGGGCCATTGGAGGACGGCGACCGGGTCTTCTGCAAACAGCTAGTGCTCACTAGAGGTGCACGGAGGATGCATCTTGTCCCTCCCCCATGAGGTGGTGCTCCAGCTGTCAGTCCCCCCGTAGGTGGAGCCCCACCTGGCTTCCAGGCTCCTCTCCCCCCAGCCTGCCTAAGGCCAGAGCACCGTGCCCCGGGCAGCACCACCCGCCCACCCTGCCCTGGGCGCCCGGGGCCCTCGAGTTTCTCTGGGAGCCAGAGGCACCCTTGGGGCTGGGGAGGCTCCAGGCACCTTGGAGAGCAGCCGGGTGACCACCAGACCCACGTCTTCCCTCCACTCGGGCGTGTTGGGGTTGTTGGCATCCAGGTCCTTGGAAAACTGCAGGGGCACAATCTGAAATTGATCTGGAGAGAGGAGGGATGGGAGAGCTGATGCATCCTGGCCAGCCTGGCTCTGGTCCCTCCAGGGAGGGTGGCCACGTGTCCTGGGTGGTCCCTGGTTCGGCTCCCTGGCCCGCCAGCCCCAAAATCTCCTCAGGCAGGTCAGGCACCTCCTGATTTTGTATTTGGTGAACAATCTCCCTCCCGGGGTGTCAGCAGCTGTGGGCTGTGCTGGGCAGGGTCCATGTCACTGGCTGCCCTCTCCCAATAGCAGTGACGCTGACAGTGACGACAGCGGAGACGGCCACACTGACCTGGGAGGAAGGCCCGGCGTGTGCCGAGCCTGCTGTGGGACCTGCCCCCTTGACTATAGGGATGGACACACCCCACGAGAGCAGCCTCTTGTCCCTCAGGGACGTCAGCTGGGCTGCCCCCCCACCAGCCTGAGTCCCTGGAGGGCCGCAGTCCCATCTGCTCCTTCTCCCATGTGTCCCGCGCTCCGGGGCTCGCACCCAATTCTAGAGTCCCCAAAAGCCTCAGAGCTAAGTCGTAACCTCTCCTTTACTTCCCGAGCCTCGGTTTTCTCCCCTGTAAAGTGGGAAGAGGCTTTGCAGGGCTGAGAGCTCGAGGGACAAGATCTCTGTGAACTGCCAGTCCTGCATCATACAGCGCGGGCGAGGATGGCTGCCGCAAAGCTCGTGGCCCAGTGGGGAGGCACCGTCACGGCGGCCTCGGCCAAGGCGCGAAGGGTCCGCGGGGGCAGCCTGGCCTTCTACACGCTGTTCTGCTAAATATTTAACTGATGGCTGCTGCCCATAGCAGGGGCTACTCTTACAGCAAGGTGAGGTTTCTATTGGTGCAGTGGGGCACGGGGGCAACAGCTTGCTGGTGGGTGTCCTCTAGGCTTGGGACCGATTTCCTGTTGTAAACGTCTCCTGTGAGGAGCCCCGGAGCACAGGCAGACCCGGGCCCAGACTCAGAGCAGGGGCTCGGCAGGTGTGCGGAAGGGAGTCCTTTCCCTTCCAGCTACGCCACGAGCCACTCCTGGAGGCGCCAGGGCCGGGGCGCAACCCCGGCTCCTGCTGCTGGGCAGCCTTGCCAAGTCACTCAGCAACATCCTCACTTGTGTCATCCCATGAGTGCCACAGGACACGGGAGTTGTTAGTATTGATTTTACTGATGGGGAAACTGAGGCCAGAGAGGCTGGGAGCCTTTGCCCAGGCCATAAAGCCAGCGTAGAGCTGTGCACACTTACCCAGCCCCTCCTCCCCAGCCCTGGGCCACCCTGGGGAGGCCAGAACATCCCTGGCTAATGCACGCATGTGGCCTGACCCTGGGGAAGGACTCACCCAGCACGCGGATGACCCTGGAGTCCTGCAGCACCGAGTTCCCACAGGCGGCCTGCACCGTCACACGCACGTCACCCGTGTCTGGAAACTGCGTCTTCACAGAGTTATCCAGGGACAAGAGGGGCTGCAGGGCACAGGCGGGGTCAGGGTCTGGCCTGGAGGCGCAGTGGGTGACAGGGATGCGGGCCCGAGGTCTGCTGCCCAGCCACACTGCAAACACTGCCCTCCCCTTGCTCTCACCAGCAAATGGCCCATCAAGGGCGCCCTGCAGAGGCAGCACCTGGGCAGGGCTGCTGCCAAGGGCACCTCGGTTCTAAGCCAACACAGCATGGACACGAGTCCCCTGGTGCCCCCTCTTTCCACAGGGCATCCCCAAGCCTCTCCTATGTGGGCATTTTTGGAGCCTTAACATGGCCCCTAGGCTGGGCCTCACTCCCCTGGCCCTGGGTCATCTTCCCACCGCACTGCAGATGAGCTGGGCACCTTCATCTCTGTCACCCAGCACAAGCTCTGCAGCCCAGCCGCCGGGGTGGTGCACGCTCAGCATGGATGGGCGGCAATGTTATCCTGAGATAGCAAAGGCCATCCCGCCCCCATAGCTGCGGAGATGGAGGCTCTGCAAGGTGAAATGATGTGCACGGAGCTGAAGTTGGACGTGGCTGAGCTGAGACCCGAACCCAGAGCCCGCCTCCTTCCTGGACCCTCCCCAGCCCCAAGGAAACAAAATCCAGAGCCTACAGCCCCTCTCCGTGTCTGGGCCCTCAGCTGCTATGGGGGCTTTCTGCTGGGGTGTAGGCTGCTGTTTGCTGAATGAGTAAAGGGTGCCCCTCTTTGGTCTTGAGGCCCCAGCCTGAGGACAGACAGCCTCACCCTCCCCTAGGCATTCTGCTGGCTTGGGCTCTCTCCTGCTCCAGAACTGTCCTTGGCTCTCCACTGCTTTCAGGGTACAACTCAGGCCTCTGAGTGAGGCTTCTGAGATCTGGTCCAGCCCTAGTGAGCTCCTCTTCCATGAAACCTTCCCTGTACCCACCTCCCGCCAGAAATGACCTCCCCTTCCCAGAGCTCTCACACACCCCACCTTCCCACTCCCACGACACTTGTCACACCCTAACTCTGGCCAACCACTTTGTTCCCATCTCTCTGCCAGGAAAAGGCAGTGACTGGTCTGATTCATCCTGTGTCCCCTGAGCAGACGGACCCCAAGAAGATGCCCAGGGTTGGGTGTTGAGTGAAGGACGGACAGTGTGTGCCCCTCTCAACTGCCCCAGAAGAGCCCCAGGATGGGAAGTGCATCGTACACTGTGTCCTTCTGCTGAATGCCTAGGGCTATGCCCCGCCCCCACTCTGCACCCAAGCGGAGCCTGTGGGAAGGAGGCCTCAAGGGGGACGGGCCAGCGCACCTGCAGGCTGTGGCCGATCCACCAGTAAAAGACGGTGAGGTTGGGGTTCAGGGGCAGCAGCACAGCTGTGAGGTTCACCTCCTGGTTGATGCCGATGACAGGAACCACCTCCAGGTAGAGGGCCTGGAGGGGGGCTGTGGAGTCCCCCAAAAGGCCAAGGTTAGAAGGTATCAGAGCACAGGGCATTTCAGAGACTGTTTTTTGGTCACTGTCACCATCAACATCATTGTTATTACCACCACCACCACCATCACCACCATCACCATCATCATCACCATCGCCACCACCTCCACATCACCATCATCACCATCATTACCACTACCACCATCATCACCATCACCATCATCGCTATCACCATCACCACGACCACCACCATCACCATCACCACCATCATCACCATCACAATGATCACCACCACCATCACCACCATCACCATCATCACTATCATCTCTATTAATATGATCATCACCATCATCACTATCACCATCACCACCACCATCACCATCATCCACCACCACCACCACCATCACCACCACCACCACCACCACCATCACCACCACCACCATCATCACCATCACCACCACCACCACCACCACCACCATCACCACCACCACCATCACCACCACCACCATCACCACCACCACCACCATCACGGCCACCACCACAATCACCATCACCATCACCACCACCACCATCACCACCATCACCACCACCACCACCACCACCACCATCACCACTATTAACATGACCACCACCATGATCACCATCACCATCACCACCACCACCACCACCACCACCATCACCACCATCACTATTAACAACCATCACCATCATCACTATTAACATGACCATCACCATGATCACTATCACCACCACCACCACCACCATCATCACCACCACCACCATCACCACCACCACCATCACCACCACCACCACCACCACCACCACCACCATCACCATCACCACCACCACCATCACCACCATCACGGCCACCACCACAATCACCATCACAATGATCACCACCTCTGCCATCACCACCATCACCACCATCACCACCACCACCACCACCATCACCACCACAACCACCATCATAATCATCACCCTTATCACCATTGTTGTCACCACCACCATCATTATCACCATTATCATTATCAATATCACCATCGATATCACCATCGCAGTCGTCACCATCACCATCACCATCATCACCATCATCACCAGCACCATCATCACCATTGTTGTCACTGACACCATCGTCATCACCACCACCCCACCATTGTATAGGTCATCAGTGGTGCGAGTTGAGCCCAGCCTGCCTGCCTCCCTGCCCTTGGGCTCACCATCCTAAGTATGGGGCCTACAGCAGCCCTGAAGAACCCCCTGTGCTTCCCCAGGAGCTAGGTTCTCTCTGTCACAGGGAGCAACTTCCAGAGGGACCTGGGGGGTGGACTTACAGTTGACCTGCACAAAGAGCACCGCCTCGTCATGCCCCGCCATGTTCTCTGCCCTGACAGACACGCGGTAAACACCAGGGCTCTCATAGCGGTGCCGGATGGGCTCCCCAGTCAGCGTGAGGTTCACGTACATGGCCTTGAAGCCATCCCCAAGGTCTACCTGGTACTTGGTGGTCAGGACATCACCCTGCAAGGAAACACCATGTGGCCATTCAGGAGTGGCCCTCAAGCTCAGGGGCTGGCAGTGGCTCATTCCCTCATGCACTAATCTGCTCCCTCCTTTCCTTGAAATGGGTGGGCTTTGGGGACCCACAGGGGACCAAACCTGGTTCTGCCTCTGAGATTCCAGCCCAGAGTACGGGGCTGACACAGGCAGCCCAAGAGCATTCGATGGGGGGACCAGGGCCAGGTTACATCTCAGAACAATTGCCCAGAGGTAGAGAGGGATGGCCGAGGGCCCAAGGCTGACGTCAGGCAGCAGTTTCAGGGTGGGCGAGGGCCCCGAGAGATGCGCTGAGGCCTGCATCAGGCATGGGGCCAGGGTGTGAGAAGGGGCTCCCACAGCCAGAGGGTCTCAGCATTGCCACGAGGAAGACGCCCACGTCTGGAGACTCTTAAATGGTCTCCCAGGAAACAGAGGAAACATGGTTTTCCCTTCTATGACGCTGCAGTTCCTGCTTTTCTCTTTTATCTCATGTCCTGCGGTGCCAGAACGATGCTCACACGCGGCGGGGTCTGTGCAGAGGGCATATCCCACCAATGGCCGCCCCCGCAGCATGTGGTCACCCGCACACGCTGCCGTATTACCTCGCACACTTCCCGGCCACGGGCGTTATCCCCCAATAGCCACATTTTCCTCGGAGTGGGGAAGTTGAGCGAAGGAAGCGATAAGGTTTTCAACTTCACGGCAAGACAGAGTTCCTACATCAGCTATCATCTCCTCCCTCCCTTCTGCCCACTGTCGCTTTCTGCTAAGTACCCCCATCAGGAATAGCCAGAAAACCGTCTCCTCATGAGCAAGAACGAAACAGGACAATGACTAACCGTTTAGCAATCTTCTTAGTTTACACCCGCCAAACTGCAAAAATTGGTAACTACTTTTACATAAACTACGTTCATTTAACTTTCGTCACAGATTATGGCATAACTGCCTGACTAGTGTCTCCCCAAATCCATGCCCACCGGGAACCCCAGAATGTGACCTCGTTTGGAAACAGGTCTTTGTGGATGTACTTGGTTAGCATGAGGTCGTCCCGAGTAGGGCGCACCCTGGATCCCATGACCGGCGTCCCGGTGGCAGAGAGGAGAGGGAGGTTTGAGACGCACGGAGGAGGCCGTGTGGACCCGGAGAAAGAGCCTGGAGTGAAGCTGCCCCAAACCAAGGAACGCCTGGGGCCGCCAGGAGCGATAGGAGGTAAGAACGGAGTCTCCGTCTTAGCCTTGTGCCGTTTCGAGCCGCCCAGTCTGCGGGCACTTGCTGGGCATCCCCAGAACCCGACATGCATGTGCTGCGCTATCCCTGCTCTGCAGGTTGGAAGACTGAGGCTGAGGCTCTCAGAAGCCCAGGATGGGAGGCTGCTCCCCGCCCATCGCCCTGTCTGTTTAGGGGCAGCCTCACTGGGGGAACGCGGAGAGGGGCTCAAGCGCCACTGCTCCCATGGCGGGAGGGTTTCCTGCGCTGCACCCCCGGGGGCACGTTTGGCCTGGAGTTGGGAGCTGTGGTCTGGCCACCTGGAGTGAGGGCTCTATACACATTTACTCCTTAAATATTTCACTTGGTTAAAGCAACTTGTCATTTTTTTCCTAATACAAAACTAGTACATTCTCAACATAGAAAAGACAGAACATACAAAGATCAAAGCAAAGAAAATAAAAAGAAAAAACAAAATCTCACCATAATGCCCACCATGAATACCTTGGTATATTTCATTCAGATCTATTCATATTACCGAGGGCTTTTGAAGGAAAGTAAATGTTTCCTTCTGAGATAATGATAGATTCACATGCAGTTGTCAGGAACACAGGCAGAGCCTGTACCCTTCACCCAGGTCCCCCCACAGCCAACATCTCACGAAGCTGTAACATTACAGCTAGGACGTCCTCACTGACACAATCAAGGCGCGGAACAATGTGAGCAGTGCCGGGATCCCTCCGCCGTCCTCACAAACACACCACCTCCCCTCATCCGCCCCTGACTCCATGGCAACCACCAATGCCTCCTCCATGTCTGCAGTGTCGCCCTGTCAAGGATGCTACATACACGGACTCCACACGCAACAGTGTGGAGTATGCAGTCATCCTAGTGGCTTTTTCACTCAGCATAATGCACTTGACGTGTATCCAGCTTATCGCAAGGTTCTGGCCTTTACAAATAAAGCTGCTGTGAATATTCACAAACGGGGTTTTACGTGAGCGTCGGTCTTCATTTCTCTGGGACACATGCCCACGAGTGCAAGTGCTGGGTCATGCTGTAGTTCCATGCTTAGTTTTCAAAAGAACTGCCAAAATCTTTTCCGGAATGGCTGCACCATTTTCCATTCCCACCTGTAATGCGTGAGGGATCCAGATTCCCCGCATCCTCACTAGCATTTAGTGTTGTCACTATTTTGTATTTTAGCCTTCCTGGCCGGTGTGCGGTGATGTTTACCTGTGGTTCTAACGTGCATTTCCCTGATGGCTAACGATGCCCAACATCTACCACGTGCTTTCGGCCATCTGTACATCCGTGCAGGAGTGAAGGATGTGCCATCCCCACATGCGCTGGATTGGCGTATTATTTCGGGTCAAAAACCCTGGAGAAATCGTAGTTTCAGAAAGGGAGAGCCGGCCTGCCTTCCTGCATGCAGCACACGATAGGTTCTGTGGCGAGGGGTGCCCTCCCCTACCAGGGGGAGGAAACAGCCCTGGTCACCCGAGCCGGGCACCCAGGGGCTGCAAGGGGCCTGAATGGACACACTTAGTGGAGAACCCCTTATCTTCCACCTGCTGCACACCCCCGTACTTCTCCTAGTGACTCCCCTAGAAAATGTTACTGCCCCTAGCCAGATTTTTTTTGTCCATCATTTATTTTCAAATGTGTTGTTCTTTCTCTAAAAAGTATAGAAGCATCTTGCTTTGGTGACGTCGGACTTCACTGTCTTGTGAAGGTCCCGTGCACGTGTAACACTAACATGACGTGTCTGCCTCTCCCTGTTCCTCTGCTGGCGTCAGTGTGGTTTCTAGGCCCCCCCAGTGGAGGGGTCTCGGGTGAACCGTCTCTCGGGTCTTTTGCCCGTTTTCCAGTTGGATGGTTTGTTCTCTTACTGTTGAGCTCTGAGAGTCCTTAGATGTTCTGGATACGAGCCCTTGCTGGACGTGTGGTCTGCAGATACTTCCCCACCCTCAGCATGTCTATTCTCCTTAACGAGGGCGTCTCACAGAGCAAAAGTGTCTAATTTTGATGAAGCCCCATTTGCCAAACTTTCCTTTTACGGATTGTGCTTTTAGTGTCAAATCTAAGGACCCTTTTCTTGTCCTAGATCCTGAATATTTTCTCCTATGGTTTTTCCAAGAGTTTTATGACTTTCACACGTTACATTTCAGTCTGTGATTCGTTTTTAGTTGATTTTTATCAGGTGCGAGGTTCAGGTCGGTTCATTTTTGTTGTATAAAGAGGCCATTCTTCCGTCAGTGAGCTGTTTTTATGCCTATATAAAAAATCAGATGGGTGTATTTGCGTAGGTCTATTTCTGGATTCCTTGTCAGATCTGATTTTTAATTCGTAGATATTTACAAAACTTGGATTCTCCTAAATCCGGTGCTATTTCCAAGCCTAGCTTGGCCTGTGCGTGTGTGTGTGAGTGCACAAATGTGTCTGTACGAGTGTGAATATGAACGTGTGTGAACACACAAGTGTATAAGCATGCGTGTGCCTGTGTGCATGTGTGTGTGTGTGTGTGTGTGAGTTGCATCAGTGAGTGTGTGCGCCCCCCCAACCCCACCTTCCCACACCCCTTCCCCAAGGAAACTAGCTTCTTCGAGGGGTGCCCCGGGAACCCTCTCTGCAGAGAGCTGCTTCTCTGCCAAGAGCATCTCTGGTCACTCCCCTGACCTCTGCAAACTCAGTCGCAGGCCCGCAGAGCAGCCCCAGCCATGGTCCCAGCCACTGGCGGGGGTGGGGGGACACTGGCCCCTCTGGCTCCATTAGGAGAACCTGGGACGTGACCGACTTGCTCGGATGCCGGGCTCTAGGGGGCAGCAGATGGCCGTTTTTCCTGGAGGTCTGTAGGAGCCTCAGAGGGGTCAACTCTGAGCGTCCGTGTGACCCCAGGCCGGGTAGGGGGCTCTGTCCTCCTGGCACCCCGAGATGCTGCTGTGAACAGAGGGGCCCCACTCCCACCCCAGGCGGCCCCCTTGGCTGAAATTGAATCTCAGGACAGTCTCAATGAGCGTGGGCACCTGGGACAGGTGGGACCTGGGATGGCTGGGGAATTGGAGCCTGCACCAGCAAACGGCTCAGGTCTGGGGGCCCCAGACTCGGTCTCTGTCCACTCGGAGTCCCGAGGCCTGGGATTCATTCCTGTGTGGCCTTAGGAGAGCGACTGCACCTGTCCCAGCCTCGGTTTCCCCACCCCAGCTCCAAACCAGGCCGACAAGAGCGCACTGTGTGAGGTTGTGCCAGGAGTGCAGGGAGTAGTGCCCGATGCAGGGGCACCCGGCAGGCACAGCTCTGTGTCCTCTTCTGCCTCAGTTTCCCTGTTTGCACTAGACCAGGCTCCCTATGGTCTTATTCCAAAGATCTTTGTCATCCTCATCCCACACCACCTTGGCACAGTATTTTTAAAAGTTTTTATTTTTTATTATTTATCTTGTTTTGAACTAGATAGTTGCTTGAAATATTGTAATGCCTTTTTTGTTTGTTTGTTTTGAGACAGGGTCTGTCTTGCTCTGTTGCTCAAGCTGTAGAGCAATGGCATCATCATTGCTCACTGCAGCCTCCAACTCCTGGGCTCAAGCGATCCTCCTGTCTCGGCCTCCTGAGTAGCTGGGACTACAGGTGCGCAACACCATGCCTGGTAAAGTTTTTTATTTTTTACAGAGATGGGATCTCACCATGTTGCCCAGGCTGGTCTAGAACTCCTGGGCTCAAGCAGTCCTCCTGCCTCAGACTCCCAGTGTGCTGGGATTACAGGCGTGAGCCACCACGCCTGGCCAGCACCATAATTTGAAGGACATTTAAAGAAAACACACATAGTCATGCAGCCACACTTGCTACCTTCCCCATATTTGTTAACCAAAGATCCGGATGCCCGCAGAGCAGTGTGCAGGACAGCCTGGAGTCCCAGCCAGCCAATGTGCTCCGGCGCTGGGAACAGGAGCATCGACCGCTCCCTTGTGCTTTTCTGTAGTTTTGAATTTTCTGCATATCTGTACGTTTTTCTAGTTTTCATTTTTGAATTTCCTACAATAAGAACTAGCTAATTTTATAATCAGGGAAATAAACATGCCACAGATTAACTTAAAAAGACCAGAAGGAAATATGTAATATGAATAGCTGTTACCACGGAGGACCAGGATTTCTTGGTGATATTTATATTCTTGATATTTTTTATGTGTTTTCAAAATGTTCTACAATGAACACATATTATTTTTAAAATCAGAAGCAATGTAACACTTTTTCTAAAGAAAAAAGAGAGATGGGAGACTGGAGGAAGCGTGTATCTGTATCCGTGTGTATTTATGTCTATCTCTTCACACACACGGAGTTTATCTTTGGTTGTGTAATTATAAGTAATAGGTGCTTTTAACTCTCTGCTCTTCTTACGATTCCAAATTAACTAAATCAATATAATTAGAGGTTTTAAAAAATCCTATTGCCACCCACCGGAATGAGTAAATTTACACCACAGCCCAGCAAACACGCGCACAGCACCCGCGAAGCCACGCGGACCTCTGACGGCACATGCTGACGTTCTCCGCATCCAGTCTGCGACCTCCTGAGTCTCCTTCGCTGCTAATGTCAGTCTGGACCCAGGGAGCGGATTTCCGTCCACCTTTGCCTCCCGCTGCCTGGAGCAGGCTGCTCCCCGCGGCAATGCCCTCAGCTGCTGGTGGCTGGAGGGAACAGCTCCCTGCGCCCGTCCCCTCTGCTCGCCCTGCAGATAGTGCCCACTCACCTGCTCCTGCCGCACCATGAACAGGACGTCCTCTCCGGGCCGCACGGCCACCGCCTCGCCACGGATACTGACCTGCAGGCCCCGGGGTGGCATGAGGGGGCACTGGAGCTGCACCGGGCTCTGTTGCAGGTCCACACCACCCTCGCACACGTTGGACACTGCCTTCCGGTACCTGGGTGGTTTGAAGGAAAATACACTTCTCTAAGGGCTGCCCCACCCCCAGCACCTGCACTGTGTAGATGATATGAAATGAAATCCTTTGTCCTCGATACAAGTCATGGCTCTGACACTTCAGACATTAGTCCCTGCTTGCCAAGCCCTGGGATGCAGGAGAGGCCACTGCACCTGCTTGATAGATGGATGGATGGATGGATGGATAGATGGATGGATAGATACATAGATGGATGGATGGGTAGATGGATGGATGAGAAGTTGGGTGAATGGATGGATGGATGGGTAGATGGATGGATGGATGATGAATTGTTGGAAGGATGGATGGAAGGACAGATGATGGATGGAGAGATGAAGGTAGATGGATGGATGGAAAGGTGATGGATGGATGGATGGATGAGAAGTTAGATGAATGATGGATGGCTGGCTGGATGGACAGATGGATGGCTGGATGGATGGGTGAAGGATGAATGACTGGATGGATGACTGGACGAGTGGGTAGATGGCAGCATATGTGCTGCTGAGGCCAAAGCCTACATTTCCTGGGCCTGATTCCTGTTTCCTCAGGTCCCCAGGGGGAGTAATGGGGATTTTCAAATGAGCCCACAGGCTTTTCCCTTCCTCTCTGAAAACTTCCTCACAGAGAAATGGGGAAATTGGACCTTCAGATGGAGCATGTTTGGCACCTTCCAAAGCTGAGTTCCCAGCCCTTACATACCTAACATGTTTCTATGAAGTTAATCCTTTATAAGCAATGTTCTCAGTGTGGTGGAGGAGAAGTGTCATGATGGCTCACACCTGTGGGCACTGTGCCCTGGCACACAGTTTGTATTCATTACTCACTAGACGGAAGGAACAGCCACCATGTCCTGTGGGCTTGCAGCCCAGCAGGGAGGACTGTTAGGTAAATGAAGGCAACAACTGGGATTTGTGCTATGACAAAGTAAGCTCGGGGTGTTGGGGTGGGTGGTCAGGGAGGGCTTCCTGGAGGAAGTGCTGTGTAAGCTGAGACCTACAGGCAGTGTGAGCATCTCCAGCCCCCAAATGAAGGCCTGGCTCGCTGAGCGTTTGTAAGTAGGGGAGGGTCTGGGCACTGCAGAGGCTCAGAAGGACCAGGGGAGGGGTGTGCTTCTCTGGGTGGGCTCAGCTCTGTAGCAGGTGCGAGCCACAGGGCACCTTAGACCTCTTCTGTCCATTGTTCTCTGTTCAGAGCCGCCTGAAGGCAGTGTCCCCTGATGCTGGCTCACACGGGTGCAGATGGAAGAACCCTGTGGGCTCCTCGGCCTGGGAGCCAAGTTCATTCATCGTTGACTATGGTGGAACACGTGAGCCCTGCCACCTGCTTTTGTGTCCCAAGCACGGGACATGAGCCCTGCCACCTGCTTTTGTGTCCTGAGCACAGGATGTTCTTTCCCTAACTCCACTCAGGAGCTGCAGGCAGCAGCTGGAAATGCAGTTGGGGTGCACGGCAGCTCTGCCCTGGATTCAGGCAAGGAGAGGCCCTGCACGCACACTCACCCAAGGCTGCTGGTGTAGGTCTGGCCCAGGGCACAGTCGTCAGGTGGGGACAACGGGTTAAACCAGAAGTTAGCAGAGCACTTGTCGGCTTCAGACTCTGAGGAGGAGGAGCGCTCAAATCCATAGTCGCTGGGAGGAGGAAGGACAGTGATCAGGAAACAGGTACAAGTGGGGGCCAGAGATAGCCAGCATGGGAGTGGCGTCAGGGGGGCTGGGAAGGGAACCGCATGCCAAAGGCCTACGACCTGTCCATCTGTGGGGACACGGAGGAGAACCCTGGTCCTGTCCCAGAGGGGGAGACAGGCCTGAGAACTGACAGCTACAGTTCAGAATGACAAGGGATGCAGAGAGATGCTGGGGACTTGGAGGAACCTGGAGGGCTTCCTGGAGGAGGTGAGCAAATCTCAGAGGATGGGCAGAGACAGGCAGGGGAAGTGGGGGAGAGGTGCTGTGGGCAGGGACCAGCCTGGTTAGTGCAGGTGCAGGGACGGACAGGCAGAGGTGGTCGAATGTCAAGAAGCAGATGGAGGGGTGAGGTCGGGAGGCAGGCGGGTGGGCCAGAGGCCTTGTGAGCCACGTTGTCCTGTGGGCAGTGGGTGGCCACAGGTCGCTTTCGAGTGGAGCAGGGGACAGGTCGGGGGCTGTCAGTAGAGCCCTGGGTGGAGGAGGGCTGGGGTGGGCACAGCTTGCTCCCAGCACGCCCCGGCCTAGCCCTCACGTGCTCCCCCACTGTGAGCAGGCCACTGTGGCGGCTTTAAAAATACATCAAATTCTTTATGCTCCTTCCTTCGGTGTGAGCTGGCCTTGCTGACTAAGAGACGGAATAGAGCGGAAGTGACGGTGACCCGAGCCCAGGTCACGGCAGGCATCGCGGTCTCCTCCCCCTCAGGGGAACGGCTCCACGCCGTGAGGAAGTGCGAGCAGCCCGTGCGGCCGCGAGCGGGGCGGCTGCTCACCAGAGGAAGTCCGCGTCTCGGCACTCGCACACGCGGGACGTGAGCGCTGACGTGAAGCTCCTCCCCTTGACGCACCAGGATGTGGACTTTCTTTTCCGGAAACTTCTCTGCTGGCCCATGATGCAGCGGCTGCCCTGCAGCAGGAATGTGAGGGTGAGGGCCCGGCCGCTAGCTCTGCGCCGGCTTGTACCGCTGATCCTGCCTGTCCCAGGAAATGCCTGATTCCTCAGGCAGCAGTGGGGCAGGGAGTTTGTCCCCTCTTACAGATGGGGAAACTGAGGCCCAGAAGGGGAAGTGGCATGTCCGAGGTCAAGCTGAGGCAGCCTTCCTCCCATCCCAACCCACAAGCATTCATTAGGCACCTTCTGTGTACAGCCCTGGCTGGGCCCTGAGGGGTCGCATAGCGACTGGGAACACGGTCCCCCTTTAAGGGCCCCGCTGCACCTCCCAGGCTCCGAGGGCGCCAGGCCCTGTGCTTGAGACAAGCCATGGCCTGGAGGGCTCATGTGCACACAGTAGGTCCTCAGCGGAGGAGAGAAAAGGCCCCCCACCACCCTGCACCAGCCCTGTGGTGGTGGCAGCGAGGGCTGACGCCCACGCCCCTTCCCGGGCCATTGTGCTGTTCCTTGCACAATCCAGCTCAGCGCAGAGCCCGCCGGTCAGTCTGGCAAGCTCCCCCACCCTCCGTGTCTGACTGGGGTCCTCATCCTCACCCCAGGAGGTGTCTGGTCGCCCTGGCCTGCCTGTGGCCAGGGCCCTCCTCCCCCCAGACTTTCCTCACAGTGCTGTCCACCCAGGCGCCCCACCCTGCTCCTTGGCTGGCAGCTCCCACGTGCTGCGCTGTGCTCGAGCTGAGCCCAGCCTCTCTCCCCTGAGGTGGTCCCTGCACCCGTTGCGGTGGCCCTGGATAAAGCAAGCGCCACTGAAGCATCCTTTCTTTTACAGTCCCCCCACCCCCGGCCCCTGGCATCCCAGGCTTCTCTGTCACAGCTCAACTGGAGCAAACAGGACCTTGGTGGCCTTATTTAGTCCTCCTCGGAAGGTGGGGGGATTCCGTGAGGACTTCTTGGAGGAGGTACCCCCAGCCTGGCAGGGGAGGACATAGCAGGCAGAGGTGGGCCCCCACCTGCGCCCAGCCTGCCCTCCCCGGCCGCGTCCCAGCCCCACCTGAAGGTTGGTGAGGTCCCAGGAGCTGTAGTCGTCCTCACTGCACTGCTTGGAGAACGAGGGCCGGAAGTCCACCTTGACGAGCTCCCAGTCTGAGCGGAAGCTGATGTGGCCAAAGACGCTGGGGAGGGATGAGGAGGGAAGGGGAGAGAGAGCCACCTTAGCCTGGCCCAGCCTGCTGTCCAAACACCTCTCCTCCGGACTCAGCTCCCACTGCACACTGGGGACAGACACAGCTCCTGCCCTGCTGGGGACCAGACGATGCCCCCTGGGCAGAGCCTGGCCCTCTGAGGGCGCTCGGCAGGCCTCGGCATTAGTGTCCCCACGATGACCACTGTGATCTCTGGCTTGTCAACGGCACTGGAGTGGGTCATCCTGTCCGATCCCACACGCCTGCTCCTTGAGAGACGGAGAAACAGCCCCATGGCCGAGTCCTGGCCTCCCAGCCACCGCCAGGGCCCTTTCCCACCCCACTTGCTGGTCCTTGTGTCCTGTTTTGCAGAACCATTCGTGGCCAGGCTGAGCCCGGAACTGTCATCTTCTCACTGCTCCTGTCACCTGACCGTGCGAGGGTTCCGTGTTGCAGAAACCCGGCTTGTTGTTGCTGGCCCGCAGGGCGCTTACTCCCACGTGGAACTGGCATCCCAAGAGACATGCTGAGTCATCAGGCCCAACTCAGAGCAGGCGGGTGAGGATGGTAACGTCTCAGCGCCCTGCTCCCAGCCATGGCGGGTGGGGGAAGCAGTGGAGGGAGACCAGGGCGGCAGCCATCCAGGGAGCCCTACTGTGCGGGAAGCAACCCACACACGTGGCCCAGTGAGGCGAGTCCATCCCCGTGCTACAGACAGGAAAGCCAGGGCACAGAGAGGTCGAGTAACTTGCCCAAGGTCACAGAGTTTGTGCTGTTCCTTATCCTCTGCTTGGCAGTCAGCAGTCATTTGCTGAGCATGCCCAGATCTTTGCCTCTCAGCCAGGGCTACTGCCTGAGGAGCTTCCACTCAATCCCCCCAATACCTTATGCTTGGGGTCCAAAGACCACCTCAGAAGAGGGGCCCAATATGCCCTTCCCCAGTCCTTCTCTAGTCCACCTTACAATGCTCTGGCCATATTACCAGAGGTCAAGCATCTGGATGGGGGAGGTGATATATCCTGCTCCGGTCTTGGCCCTGTCTGAACACCACCAACAGGGGCTGGATTCTTGGGGCGGCCACTCATGATCTGAACACACTCAGTCCCCATTCTGGAGTGGTGTTGAGAAAGGTACTGGAGTATGTTCTTAGGGATATGATGGCTGGGTCTGAATGTCTGAGGCTAATATTTGAAGACGAGGTTTGGCTCCACAGCGCACCTCTGAGTCAGGCAGGCCTTGGCACCCGTTTCCTGCAATGTGCGACCCTGAGCAGGCCCATCTCCCTCCTGTACCTCGGTTTCCTTGGCTTGAAAGTGGGGACAAGACGAGTGGTCTTTCAGGATTGATATTGGATTAGTGACAGTGTGGGCAGGGTGCCCGGTGCATACATCACCCCCACTCCCCAGAACTGGGTCACGAGGGAGGTGGGATCATCTTTATTTCACAGATCAAACCCGAGCCTCTGACACTGGGCCAGGCCTCCTGCGTCCTGGCAGCTGCCGCCTGTCCTGCCGTGGCAGGCTCCGTGCGGGTGCAGCCGGGCCGTTTCCGCCCTGTGTCCTCACGTTCACGTTCCTGCCCTGTCACTGCTGGGCCCTGGGGCGGGGAGGCGCCCACTGGGCTCTCGGTCCAGCCTGGCCCCTCATTCCGGAACCACCGATCCTGGCAGCTTTTCTTCTCCACCCGGGAGTCAGGAGCCCCATGCTGCTCTGTCTGGCTCAGAGGAGCATGGAAAGGGGGCTTGAGCATTGGCCTGGGAACTCTCCTAGCCGCTGGGGGCACAGCCCACCAAGGACAGGGGAGACGTCCCCGCGGCCTGGCCTCTGCTCCGCCTGTCCAACGGCTCTTGCAGGAGCTATTTCCAACAAGGAGTCTGTGGCTTTGGCCCAAAGCGCCTGTTATTTAGACAATGTCCTGCCTGCTGTCTGCCCTCTGCCACACCCATGTGGACAGCCCTCTCTCCGGAGAATATCAACACACTGGGGACCTTCTGTCCAGCATCGTCACCCACACAAGCCTGGCGGCTGGTCATTTGGACAGTGTGGGGCCTGAGCTCAGGAAAGGAGGCTTGTTAAGTGGACACACTATACCCCCGAGAGCATCCTCACCCAGCACGCGTGGGGGCTCTCTCGCTCCTGCAAACGGTGGCCTGACGTATGTGGGGCACTTGCTGCCACCAGGCAAATGCTCCCTGTGGGGAGCATATGATTGTTATTCCCATCTTACAGGTGAGGAAACTGAGGCTGAGGCAAGGGACCCGCCCAGAGCCGCACAGCTTCAGCCCAGCTCCTGGAGGAGCCAGCGCTGGAGCCCGGGGCTGGCGACTCTGGGGCTGTGACGCTCTGCATGGAGCGGTGGCAGCACTGCTGGCTGCAGGGTCCCCCGGGGGGATCTCAGTCTCACCCGCGGTCCCAGCCTGGGCAGAGCAGGGGCTGGCTTGGTTCATTAGTTAATCCTTCCGTGTCTGTGAAGCCCTGCCTTTTAGGAAACCTAAAACCTCGGCTGACACTGCGGGAAATATCTCGTCTAGTTAATTCTGAGTCTTCAGCAGGTGCCAAAGGAAGCCTATTTATCGCCTTGCAGCTAAAAAGGAAAAATGGGCCAAGCTCTGGGGGCTGGGCTGTGAGTCTGCTGGCCCTGAGCAGCTCACGCCCATGTGGGGAGCAGCCTGCAGCCCGTTGAGGCTCTGGGCCCCCCACCCATGCCTGAGCCCGGGGCCTGGGACCCCTCCCTGCTCTGAGGCCACGGACAGGTGCCGAGGGAGGAGGGGCGGGAAGGGAGCGCGGCAGGGGCAGCTCCCGAGCAGACTGCGCAGGTGAACTTTCTGCTCTGACATGCCGGCCTGCTTCGTCTTTTCCGGTCCGAATTCTTTCTGTGTCAACTGGCGTTGTCAAGCTGTTTGAAGACGCAGCTCTGTGAAATAGGAGGTCTGCAGGAACCATTCTGATGCTTTTTAGAAAAATTTAAAAGGTTGTAGCACCCGGCTGTGAATTCTGCCATTATCCTTCTGGGGATGAAATGCCCCATCTGTGGGTGGGGGATGAAAGCCAGGCTGCCTCTGGGGCCAAAGCCGGCTCTGCCGTGGTGACAGTCAGGATGAAGGTTTGAGGTCCTGCAAAGCTGAGTCTGTTCAGGGCTCTGGGGTGGAAAGCATGCCTATCCGGCTGGGCTGGCTTGTTCACTCTGCAGAAGGGCTGGGGCCGCCCTCACTGACAGTGGTCACTGTCCCCTGCTCCGAGGCTCTGGCCTCGGGAAACAGCTCAGCTGTGCCAAGGTCCATGCGGAGCCCGCCCGCCGCACTCCCAACGTGCCACAGCCAGAGCATGACTTGGACCCCCTTCCTCCCCGCCTCCCCCTCCGGATAAATGCGGCACAACCTCCCGTGGCCTCAGGAAAAGACCTCAGGCTCCAGCGGCACGTGGGAGCGCGACCGCCTAAAGTCAGAGCAATTGGACGGGGCCAGGGCCGGGGCAGAGCAGGCACCGAGTGTGCCGGGACTCCGCACACGCCAGGGCACTTAGCGAACAAGATGGCGATTATTCTCTACCCAGCTTCTATAGGATGGGATCCCGGGTCCTCTCCCAGTCCCTGGCTGGGCCCCTTGCCAGCCCTCCCTCGGGCAGAATTCTCGGGCGATCTTAGCGCCTGCAGAAACAGGGCGTACGTCATTCCGTGGAGACTTCTGAGAACAAGACCAGATGAGCGCGTGCAGGAGGTGGTCGGCAGAGCCCCATCTCGGCCCGACGCAGCCGTGCTGGTAAGGACACAGGGAGGACAGGCTGGGGCAGGGAAGGGTCCAGCAGAGGGAAGACACTCCGGGCTAGACGAGGGGCACGAAGCCCTGGATAAGCCCACCGTCACACACCGTCGAGAACACGCAGACACACGTTTAGCGGTCTGGAGGCCGCTGAGACTGAGCTGTGATGCGAGGCGGATGCGCAGCTGGGTCAGCGAGGGACCCTTCCTTCTTGGGAACAATGTGCCCGCCCACCCGGGATTCTGGGAGGGAAGTAGAGCTGCCGTGCGGCGTGGCCGGGTGGTGGCAGGAGCTCTGCCCGCTCTGCGTGGGGGGCAGCGACGCCTCTGAGTCTAACCGGGGGTGCTCCTGCTACCACCCAGGAAGAAGCCCCACAGCGCATCGCAGGGGCGCAGCTGTCGTGACGCATTCTCAGTGACCTGACAGTGGGGTTATGGTCCCGTGTGGCAGACGAGGAGGCCGAGGTTTCTCGAAAGGGAGAGGAAAGACCGCCTCCTGCAACTTCGGCCAAGGCCCGCCCCCTCTTGGAGCCGAGGTTTTCCCAACTGGCAAGCAGACGAGCTGGTCGAGCGAGGGAGGGTAGGTGGGAGGGTGGTGGGCACGGAAATGGCAGGGCCCATAGTGGCGGGTTTTCCAAGGCTGAGCTCCCAGCCCGGCCCTGGCAGTTAGGGCAGCTCAGGGGCCATGTTCTCCTGGCCTCCTCCACAGACTGGGGGACACACTGGCCCTGCAGGAGCTCGGGGCCTCGTCTCTGCCCAGGGCGGAGGCTGGCCCGGGTGGGGTGGGCAGTTTCTGACAGTAGCCCCGCTCCCCTCGGCCCCCAGGGAGAGCCGAGTGTGGGCCGGGAGGGCAGGGCCCGGGCTGAGCTCAGGGCTGGGGTCCGGCTCTCTCGGGGGTTTGTCCGCGTGGGCCTCTCTGGGGCCTTGGGGCCAGTGGGAGGTCTGGATGGGGCCAGGGCGTGAAGGCCACTGCTGGCAGACGGGCAGACTTGGGCATGTGAACGGGGCATCACCCAGGCTGATACTTCACACTGTCGCTGTGCCAGGGACTCAGTCCCAGGCCATAAGCCCACACCTGCCGCAGGAAACACGCCACTCCAGGCCGAGAGGGGAGGTGGGGATGCTGCCACTACTCTGTGGGGAGCACGTGGGCCGGGCCTGTCTGCTCCAGGAGGGGCAGAGCAGAGAGTAAGCTGTCCAAAGTCCAGCCGTCCAATCCCACCCTCCTCACCCCAGCCCCGGGTTGAGCAGACACGCAGGGAAGCCAGGGTCCATGTAGTCGTGTCCCGGGGCTGCTGCACAGATGACCACAGACTGGTGGCTTACAACATCCCCAGTGTGTCTCTCGCAGCTCTGAGGCTAGAGTCCCAACTCGAGCTGTGGGCGGGGCTGTGCTCCCTCTGGGGGACTGAGGGGGACCCTTCCTGCCTCTCCCAGCTCCAGGTGCTCCTTGGCTGGGGGCCACGTCTCTCCAATTCCCGCCTCTGCCCTCACCCCGCCTCCTCCTCCCGCGTCCGTCTCCGTGTCCTCTGCTCTTAGAAGGATGCCAGCCCTTGGATTAGGGCCCACCCTGCACCAGAGTGACCTCGTCTTAACTCGGTGACAAGGTCCCACTCACAGGTTGCAGGCAGACATGGTGACATTGAGGGGAGGAAGGGTGTCCCAGAGCCCTGCAAGGCTGCGCTACATGGCACCGCAGTGGCAGGGTCGCTGGAGCTGTCAGAAATGCAGAGCTGGGGGCCGAGTCGGCTCTGCCTTTGACAGGAGGAGGCAGCCAGCCAGGCCCTCATTTCCGCGGCTGCCGGGGGCACCTTCTCTTCCTCAGTGCGGCCACAGGGTTAGGGTGAAACCCTGTGTGTTCATGTCATCCTCTGTGTCTTCACTCCTGGGCCAGGGTGGCTCTGAACAGCAGGGGTTTCCAAGGCCCCTTCTCCCTTCCTGGCGCCTCCGGCGGCGTTTGGCCCACGACAGGGCTGGGCACATGCGGCGGGTTGGAGATGGAAGCTGGGCCGGGTGCTGTAGCCTCAGAACCCAGGCCAGGGTGTCGGGCGGGTCACAGCTGACTTCGCCCTGTGCTGGCCTGTCTGGGTCTCAGATCCTCATCTGCACATGCAGCTGAGAAGGTGCCAGTAGATGACAAGACTAACTTGAGAGGCACACGGGGTCGTGATTGCAGTCGAGAATGGCAGTGAGCCTCGGTTCGGCCCCACCAGCCAGGTGACCCTGGGCAGGTGGCAGATGGTCCCGAATGGGAACAGAGTGGCCGCCTCTGAGGCCAGCAGAGGGCATTAAGAGCTGCCGCTCCCCTGGGGAGGGGCATGCATGGAGACAGAGGTGGAGGCCCCTGCACTGCCTGCCTGGCTGTGACCTGCCACCCACCCAGCCCCCGGCACTCACGTCATGACCAGCGTCTCGTCTCCCGGCTCACTCAGCAGCCCGTCCACGAACACCGAGGTGCTGGTGAAGTTGTGCGTGCTCCAGCTGAGGCCCTCATCCAGGCTGAACCTGCGAGAGAAGGGCCTTCAGCGCCCCGACGTGGCCGTGAGTGCCCCTGTGCCTGGGACCCTGCCCTCTGGACACAGCTGCCTTCCCACCGAGGCTGTCTTCGGGCCAGCCCAGCATCTGGGCCACAGCCGGACCCCCAATCTTGCCCTTTCTGGGGGCGGGGCTGCAGCAGCCACCTTGCCAGCAACTGTTTAGCCATGTCACAACCCCACGCCTTGGGTGTGTTATCTCAGTACTATGAAGACAATCTGTACCCCTTGGGGTACACTTGTACTCACACAAGGCCTGAGTCCGGCCCAGGGGTGCCAGGCCAGTGATGGGACCTGGATTGCAGTGCTGCCATCTTGCAGGAGATAAAGCTCTTTTTTAGACTAAAGTGATACTGGCTTCCTGGCAGCTACTCTAGTTCTGCTTTTTGGGTCCCAAGTTGACACTTGCCCTCAGCTCCCCATAAGGGTTTGCAGATGTGTGGCAACACTGCCAACCCCACTCTTACCCAGCACAGGCTGCGGGCTTCTGGGTCACCTGGCCCCAGTTTCTCCATGTAACTAATTTCTGGTGATGCTTAAAAGTCACCTCGTCTGAGAAGCCCTCCCTGCTCCCCCACCTCCTCTGGGCCCACAGCCCCAAGCCTCCCTCTGTCTTGTCCGCCCATCCCGTTTGCTTGTCTCCAGCTCTGTGGCCCTCAGGAGGATGTGCGGCGCTCTGCCGCCCCCACTGCTGGGGAGCAGTAGGTTGCTCTGTGGCCCCGTGGGGAGTGTTCTGGGGAATGTTCTAAGAGGGCCCCCAGGCACAGAGGAAGAGCCCTGTGCACTCCACACCCCGCTGCCGCCCTGGTGACATTACTTGAGGATCTTCAAGGGGATAGAGGTGTCCTTAATGGCCACGATCACGCCGCCGTGGTCCAGGTACAGGATGTGATGCTCCTCCTCGAACACCTGCGGGGGACAGTGGGCGCTCTGAGGGCAGCAGCCCCAGGAGGGCTGGAGGTCATTCCAAGTCGGGGTCACTCCCAGGAAGCAGAGTCATCAACACACGGATTGGGGGGTGTTGGCGGAGGCTCGGTCCTGAGGCCAGGGCTGTCTGAGGGTCCCCATACCCCCCAGGCCATCCCTGGGGCCACGGACCCGGTACACAAAGGACAGGGAGCAATCTCTACACCGCTGACATGAGGGACAGTGTGGCAGATGAACACCAGGGTCCTCTCTACGGGAAACTCATGCACAAGCACCAACAATGGACAGGGAGAAAGAGGCAGTGGGATTTAGAAGAACATTTCAGATAAGTATCATATTAAGAGCAAATCTCAATTTGATGTGAAGACTCAGCTCCTGTGTTACCTCCTCCAGGAAGCCCTCCTTGATGCTGCCTGGGGAGGGAGCTGCCTCTGCCTCAGCTCCCTGCCCCAACATGCCCTACACTTATCTGTCATTGTCCCTGCCAGTCAGGGAGCTCCTCAGAGGCAAGGCTCGCTCTGAGCCCTCTCTGTGCCCAGCATGGCTCAGCTCAGACCTTGGTGCTTGTGGGGGCCCCTGGAGTATGTATGGAATGAATAAACGAATGAATGAACAAGTGAGTGAATGAATGAATGAATGACCACCAAGGCTTGAAGGGACAAAAGGCTGACCGGCCCAGACAGGGCTCACCCAGGAGCAGATACCTATGGTGGTCTCTCTGGCCTTCACACAGCCCGGGTGGGGTCCACTGTACAGATGTGGAAGCTGAGGCTGGGGGCGGTGAGGGTGTGCCAAGGCCTCGTAGCTGGTAGGGGGCAGAGCCGATGTGGCTCCTAAGTCACGCCAGGACGCGAGGGACCTCCACTAGCTCTCCAGTGAACATACATGTGTAGATGGCGAGCGTGTCTCCAGGCATGGCCCAGTGAGGGGCACTGCCATCCCCACCGCATCGCCCTCACCCTGCACCTCTCCTCCCAGGATGTGGCCCTGTTCGCCCTCCCGCCCTCGTCTGATCAGAGCCCCAGGCCGGTGCCTGCAGCAGGGACGCGGGGCAGCCCGGGAGATGGGAGACAGCCCCCTGGGCCCCCTCCTGCCAGCCCCTCCCCAGGGCCAGCAAGCTCACGGGTCTCGATCAGTCGCAGGAGACCTCTGCAGAGACGGCTTGGCCGAGCCTGCTGTGGGCAGCGAGGACATGGACACGCCCACCTGATCCGGGCTCTGGGGCCGGGGGGCAGTGGCTGCAGAGCGTGCGGAGACGTGGCACAGCTCGTGCTGGGTGAGGGACTGAATGGGCTCGGCCAGCTGCTCCCTGCCAGGTGCTGACGCGACAGGACAAGCTGGGGAGTCCCAGGCTCCAGGAAGACGGCTCTGGGACAGCTGGGGACACTCGTGGGGACGCTGTAAAGAGAGCTATTGGTGGCATCTTCTCCTGCATTCCAAGGCTGTCTTTGTTTGAATGTTGGATCCTCTGGGAGCAGTGGGAGGCTGGACATGGAGCAAAGCCCCGCATGGCAGGAACGTGGAACCTCAGCAGCCTGGTGGGTGCCAGCCAAGCCCTCGGCCCTGCTGTCAGGCAGGTCCCATCACCTGCATGCCCCTCAATCCCACCGGAACCTCCCAATGCCCCCCCTACAACATGGCCCTTAGAATCAAGTCCAAAGCCTTCACTCAGCTCCCCTCCTCCGCTACCAGCCACTCAGGAAGCCTTTCCCTGAACATGCCTCAGGCCCTTTGCACATGCCATTCCCCTGCCTGCAAAGCTCTTCCTCAGAGATTTCCACCTGCTCTCACAGTCTTGCTGGCATTTCCGTCTTTCCCTCTGCTCCTAGGAATTCTCCAGAAAACATTTTTGGCGTGAGTAGAGAACAGAGGCTCCTTACGAAAAACGGTGGAGAGCGAGCAGCTGTGTCCCAGAACCTTCCTTCCTCCCTCCCTCTCCCTTCCTGTTTGCAGTGGGAGTCTGTCAGGTCAGGCCAGCGCCAGAGAAGGCGGCCACCAAGACTGTCGCAGCTGAGCCCTCCCTGCTGAGTGGGGGCTGCTGTCCTCAGGGACCACCAGGACCCAGGCGGGCACCTTGCACGTGTGAGGGGGGCCAGGAGAGGGCTGGCTCCAGGTGCCCTGCAAAGGTGTGGGCCAGAATTGCTGAGAAAACCCGGAAAGGATTTGGATGTGTGTGAACTATGCTTTTAAACAAGGGGGGTAGAGGGGAGAGGGGAGGGGCAGGGTGGCCAGTGCCATGGTCGTCTTATTTAACAGTGGCCACACCCTGAGGATATTTCCCCATTTTCCAGAGGGTCAGAGACACACAGTCACCTGCCTGAGGCCACAGCTGGTCATGGTCGGCCCCCAGCACCAGCCTGGCCTGCTGCCCTGTGACAGACACTCATCAGAGGAGGCTGCAGTGGGGCTCCAGGCACGATGTGGGTGTTCCCCAGCTGCGCCCCAAGCGCGTGTGCTCCGCCGCCCACAGCCCTGTCTGCAGGGGGGCTGCTGTCCTCTGGCCCAACCACGAGCTCAGGAAAGTGGCTGGGATAAGCCACTGCCTAAGACCACATTGACAGAGGCCTCCTAGACAAGAAAGGTGACAGCCTGCAGATTTTAGGGCGTCAGAGGTGCAGAGTTTAGGGTACTGTGAGGAAGAACTGTCCTCGGTTCTCTTCCACGTCCATCCACCCATCCGACAGACCCAGTGTTACAGGCCCTCTCTGTTGGAAGTGCGGAGACAGATGCAGGCCTGGCTCCTAGGAATTCACGGCCTGGGGACAGATCCCACCGAGGCAGACCGTCCCCACATGGCAACTCACCCGCCCGCCGGGCAGCAGCAGCTAGAGAGCAGGGCCTCCGCCCTCGAGGCCCGTGTCAGCCTGGGCTCTGCCACAGCTCGGGGCCCAGCCCATGCTCTGGGGGCAAACGATGGGGTATTTAAAAGAAACTCCAGACTGGGTCAGCAGGCAGCCAAGGGAGGGATTCACAGGGCAGGTTGAGCCTGGGGGATTTAGGAGGTGCAAGGACATCGCAGGTGTGGGGAGGGGCAGCAGGTGCAGAGGCCTGGAGGTGACGGGAGGTGGGGCCAGGGAGCAGCACGTGCTGCAGCTGCAGCTTCCGGCACAGGAAGGGGCCCCAGGGCCGGCGGGCAGGTTGGAGGCAGGTGCGACACTCAAAGCTTAGCTGGGGAGAGAAAGCAACACACTCTCTTTGGGAGGAGTCCTGGGTGCCGGGGAGACGGATTTGAGGGGCAGAGGCCTGCTGGAGGCACCGCAATGATTCAGGAGGAAAATGAGTTCTGACACAAAGGGCTTCTCCTCCAGGACATGGCGAGCTCCGTGTCTGGGGGAATATTCCAGAGAAGCTAGGCCCCCTCGCCAAGAGGGACTCAGGATCCCAGGGCAGCTAAAGTCAGACTGGTCCCGTGAGGCTGTCCTGGGAAGCACCGATGGCCACCCTCTGAGGTGGCGCTGGGAGCTGAGCTGCTGCGTCGGCGTCTTTAAGGGAGACAGGCGGAGAACCCCAGGCACGGTGGGTGACAGGGAGGTGGGCTTCTCAGAGCCTGCTGTTCTGGAGCGTGATTTCCCTCAGGGGCTGAGCTGGTGCGTGCATGACCAAGGGCCCCTGCTGGGATACTCACACGCGTCCTTGCCACCTCCTCCCACAGGCACAGGCAGGAGGCCGTGGGCCGCAACTGCCGGGAAGGTGGCTGTGGTACCTGGGGGCCACCCGAGGGGACCCCAGGAGAATCAGCACCTGCTCTCTTGGCTGGGGACTCTGGACAAGGGGGTCCACGTTTCCCATCCCGCCAACTCCCACTGCTGTGGTTGTCCTTACCCTGACCGGCCCTGGGCACGCGGTCCTGCCCCCATTTCGCCATGTCTCTGCCTCCCACATGCTGAGCCAGGGGCTCCTGGAATGCTTTCCGACTTCGCAAAAAAATTGTGCAGGGACCTCATGTTTTTAAAAGGTTATGTCGATTGAACAAGATACACTCTGCCACTGGTGACTCACACTCTCCGTTCTGCTGCCCGACACAGCTCACACGCATCTCCGGCCGCGCGGGAGAGCCAGGGAGACCACCCCGAGCCCCGCATCTGGTCTGTCCCCTGCCTGGACGCCCTCTCTCCCTCCCCTGCCACCCCCCATTAAACTCCAAACCCAGCAGGACCATCTCCCCTACCTGGACACACACTCCCACCCCCCGCGCCCCTCACCCTGCACCCTGCCACCTTCTGGGGGGATGAAGCCCTGCGAGGCCCGGCGCACACTTGCAGACGTGAAACGTCCCCCGTTTCATCCTCACACTCCCAAGTTTGAAATCCAAGCAAATTGCTCAGCAAAAGTGACCTCGATGAACGTCTCACAATCAGCTCCTGCAACACTAGAAAACCTCTTGTTTCCCCTTGTCTGTTTAATCTAGTAAGGGGGGACTTCTCTGCTAAATGGACAGATGGTGACCTTTAAGAAACTTTAGATACGTTTCACTAGTTGTGGTGAAATAGAAATATTAAAATACAATAAATCTCTTTTGCCCTTTTCAAAATTCCTTGTTTCTTGCATATTTTTTTTAAAAAACGTCAAGGCCTTAAACCAAGCCTGCAGGCGGACGTCATAGCGATGGGGTTAACATAGCTGTCCAGAGTGCCGCCTGGAAGAGGGGCTGCACTGAGACACGCAGACACATAAAAAACTGACCCAAAACAAACCTTCTTATCTGGAAGGGGACGCACAAGGAGAGTGCAGGTCCTACGCTTAAGCGTTTAAAGGAGAAAAGGAGAAGCTGTCACTCCATGTCCTTCTCTCCTTGCCACCTGTGAGAGGTCGCCAACGTGGAGCGAGGCAGGGCCCTCTCCTGGGCTGCCGCTTGGTTCGGGCCCTGGAGCTGCCCCGACTGCACAGGTGTCTCCACGTGCGGGTGGCCAGCAGCACCGTCCCCTCCGGGTGGTCTGTGTCCCAGCCTCACGTGGGCTGCGCAGAGCCCACGGGAGCCCTGCACAGTGCTGTCCTCCTTTCCTCCTCCCCTTCTCAGGCCACACCGCTACATCCGATCGCCACTCCTCGATGTCCCCCAACCCAGGCTTGCCGCGGCCCCCGAATCTGCTGTCCCCCATGCTCTCTCCTGCTCTCTCCTTCTCTCTCCTGGCAGGTCCCCGCCAGGAACCTGGGCATCGCCCTGGCCCCAGGTTGACCCTGGCCTCTGCGTGACACCTCCTTCCCCTTCCATTCCATGGCATTTATGTGCTTTCTCAGGTGTTCATGGTGACACATCTGACTACGAAGATGTTTCTCGGGTCTGAAATTCCCCATCAACGGCCATCAAGAGAACAGCAGGACGGCAGGAGCCGCCGCCTGGACCTGCCTTTCAAACACAGAGATGCACTGTCTGCCACATGGCAACCTGGGCTCCAGCCATGTGGCTCAGAGCTTATCCCATGCAGCTTCCAGAAGGGAGGGGGTGATGGACAGATGCATCTCCTGGGAGTCCTGGCATGATGGGGTGGGAGGCACCAGGCACCTCCCGGCCACCTTACCTGCCGCCAGGTGTGCCCGCAGTCCGACGTGATATACATTTCTTCTTTGTACTCCACCAGCTGCGAGCCCAGGTTACCTGGTCCAAAAGAAAAGGGGCAGTGTTGCTCTCAGGATCAGACAGCTTTCCCAATGCCAAGGTCTGAGCCTGGAAAAATCCCCAAACAAGGGTGGCCTGTGCCCTGGTCCACATCTGCCACCACAGACCTGCTGTGCCTGCAATGCGTGGGCCCCGGTCCTGGTCGGTGCAGTAAAGGACCAACCTGCCCAAAGACAAGCAAGCTCAGCCGGCTCTGGCAGGGGCCCAGGTGCTTCAGAGAACCCACAGGTATGGTCCAAGGATCAGAGTGTGGAGCGGTGGTCAGAGACAAGTGGGCAGCATGGGCTCCCAGGAAGCCTGTTGAGCTTTAAGCCAGGGCAGTACATGGCTGAGTTTGGGTTTGGGGACAGCTTCCTGGAAGCTGGTGCAGGGGAAACCACAGGCAGGTCCAGGGAAGAGCAGGTGACACCCAGCAGGTGCTCACTGAATATCTGCTGAGCGGACATCTGGGAGGATAGTGAGGTGGGCACCAAACCAGCTAGGCAGCCTGGAGGCTCCGCCTAGTTTGGGTTCACCGAAGCCCCTGCACCAGGCTGGCTGGGCTGGTCATCAGCCTTGACTCTGTGGGTGGTGTGAGATGGGAAGAACTCCCACCCGGTATCTCAGCCAACTCCATCCATCTCACAGGTGGGGAAACTGAGCCCAGATGGGCTCCTATAAAAAGAACGATGGCCACGTATCAGAGCACAAGCCCCAGGAAAGTCAGGTAGCCTCCCGCAGTGGGCTTGAACAGGGACTTTCTGATGAGCCAGACTCAGCAGGCCTCCCAGCTCCCTGCTGCAGGGCCAGGACAGGGGTCCAGGTCTGCAGGATTACAAGGACCTCTGATGACAACACTGAAGCTGTTCTGGAGCCCCCAGAGGCCCCGGCCCTGGGTGACTTGTATGTCACTTGTCATTTGAAGCCTTATTTAGGTGGCACTCTCAGAAGAGTTTTATCCAGAGTCAAGTTTAGAAGTCATTAGAAAATTCCGAAGGAAATGGATTATCCTTAAATAGATGAGTTAAAGTGAGTTCTAAGCACAGTAGTAGAGTGTTTGTGTGCTTGTCTTCTTTTTTGAAGTCCATCCATCCATCCACCTATCCATATACTTACTCCTCCATTTATCTATTCACTCACCCATCCACCCGCCATCCATCCACCCACCCATCCATGCATCCACCGTCTTTTATTAGTCTGTTATCCATCCAACCAATCATCTCTCCATCCACCCACTTGTCTCTTAATTAGCTCCACCCACTCACTCATTCCTGCATTTATTCATTAGCATATCCAAGGGCCTGTTCTCTGCCCAGCCCTGTGCTAAGCTCTGGGGAGTCTAGGCTGATTGAACCAAGGCCTGGCCCCTAAGGGCCTCAACCTGGCAGGGGAAGGAGGGTCGAAGGGCTGTGCTATTGTACATAGAACCAGGACATTGGGCCCGTGAAGGACAATAACCAAGGAGAGACCCAAGCTGGGCCTTGGGAGACAGATGCGAGCTGGCCAAGGGCAAGGGCACAGGGCGTGTCTGGGCAGAGGCACGGAGGTGGGTGGGGGCGTGGCAGATGGGAAGGTGGCAGAGGGTCAGGTGTGGAACCTGGGCATCCCTATACCCATCCCTTTTGTGGGGCAAGGTACTGAGAAATGGCTGCTGAATGAATGAAACGAATGAGGTGAATGAATGAATGGAATGAGTGGGTACGGGGGAGAAGAGGAAGGGGCACCCTTTATACCCCGTTATTCCAGACGCCAGCAAACCCTCCAGGACACGCGCATCCCATGTGGGGGCTGCTGCTGCGTCCACACAAGGAGCCGGCACGTTTGCAGTTTGCAGTTTCGGTGGCGCAGATGTGTGTCTTTGAAGGGCGCTATCTGTTTTCCTTGCTCTGTCTGCCAAAGCTGTCAGGCTGCCAGTCACCCAGGCAGCGGGATGACGGGACTTCGCAAACACATCCGGCTGCGAGAGGATGGGCCTGTGGAGGGCGGAGGCTGACGGGCGGAGGCTGACAGCCGCAGTGTGCGAAGGGAAACAGGCCTGGAGTGGGGGTGGGTGACCTCCCCGCTCTGCTGTGCTGTTCCGGCCCCTCCGCCTGGCCCTGGGGCTGACAGAGTCTGGTGTACAGCAAGTACTTCGCCTACCCAATGAAAATACACTTTCCCCCTCCATCCTTCTCCGCCCTGCTGCCAGAAGAAGTGAGCAAAGCAGCAAAACACCCACCTGCCACATGGCCCGTCCTGGAGGGAGGAGGGCTGCGGGCCTGTGGACCCTGTGGCCGAGACTGCCCCTCCTGTTCTTGGGGGCTGCTACCGTGCTCCCACCTCCAGGGTGATGGGCGAGAGTCCGCAGGGCTGGCTCAGGCCCCTCTGCCAGGCAAAGGGCTTCTCGCCCTCACATCTGGACGCTGCCCTCCATTGACAGGCCTGGGCATGGGCCTGCCAATCTCAGAGGAAGGGACTGTTGTGGGCGGGGCGGGGCCGGCACTTGGCTCCTCCCCGGGGGCCCCTGGCCCAGGCCCACAGGGTTTTCCAGCAAAGCAGTCCGGGTGCTCCCAGCTCCCAATGTCCCCCTCAAGGTTTTCTCAGCTAAACGCTAAGGTTACCTCCGTCGGGGCCAGGGTCAGGGAAGTGTGTGCCAGCTTCCACTCTGTTGGGTCCTGAGGACTCATGTTTGGATGATGAGCCGGGATGCAGACCAGTGACAGGCAGACGGGCAGTGCTGCGGGGGAGGGTCTCTGTAACCACCGGGAGTACCCACCTGGCGTTGTCCACACATCACACCTGTGAGTGCTCACAGGCAGATGATCATCCCCATTTTACAGATGAAGAAACTGAGGGTCAGAGAGGCCTGCCCCAGACCACAGAGCCGGGAAAAGTCAGAGCAAAGATTGGCTCCAGGGCCCTCCGTGTTTCCCCCCCATCAGGGGCTTCCCACCTCCCCAGGAATTGTCAAGCTTCTTAGTGACAGATTCCTGGGTCCTGCTCCCAGGGGCTGGGATTTTTTGGCTTAGGGTGAGCCCCAGAGACCCCTCAGGGGATTCTGACCAGTGTGCGTGTTTGGAGGAGGTGGGAGTCAGAGGCCTGGCCGAGCAGGGAGGACGGCCCAGGAGAGCCAGGGGTGGGAACCAGCTGGGCACAGGTCATGCAGGGGCTGGAAAGACAGGCAAGTGGGAGCCCCCGAAGGTTGTGGAGCAGGAAGTGTTTATTCGCAGGAGGTTTAAATGCACACGAGGCCCCAAATCCCAGTCTACTGAAAGGAAGAAAGGACAAAGTTGCGAATTCAGGGTCTTTCAGACACCGTCACTCCAGCAAGGAGGTGCTGGGAGGGGACCAAACTTTCTGTCCCCTGACACGGTCAGGGAGAACGTGCCATGGGCATCTCGGCTCCAGCTGGGTTTCCTGCAGGTCAGTGTGGCGGACTCTGTACCCGGTGGTCAGACACCAGAGTCCCTATCTTTGCTTCTTGAATCTGTCCCTCCTCTTCCTGATTGGGTTCATGGCCCCGCTTTCTGGATCCCTCTGCAGGCCTGCCCCTGTGGACTGGACCTGAGGACAGGGCCCCCCCGCCGTCTACTCCCACCGCAGGGGCGTGTGCTCTACCTCCCGGTGCCGCCCTCTTGCACCTCCACGCCTCGCACGCTTGCCAGCTCGTCTGCCAGTCCCATCCCAAACCCCAGGGTGGAATCAAGGCCCATATCCTATGTCCCTTTGTGCCCTGAACATCCTTAAGGGGCAGAGCCTCATCTCTCTGCATCTCCAGGACCCTGGCAGGGGGCCTGGCATGGGGGTGGGGGCGTCCGGCAACTATTCAAGTGCAAGGACGACCCAGACACACCTGAATTTGACGCTTCTGCCTCACCCCGGCCTCATCTTACAGTGGGGGGTTTGTCCTCTCCTTTTGCAGACGAGGAGACTGAGGCTCAGAGAAGTCCAGTGAAATGCCCAAAGTCCTACAGCTGGGAGGTGGCAGTACCTGGGCTTGCAGCTCTCACCCACCTGCCTCCGAGGAGGGCAGGGGAGTGACCCCGGGAAACATGCACCCACCACCCCCAGCTGCCTCTGGCAGTGCAGTCACACGGCCGCAGCCTATGCCAGGGCAGGCGCCACATTGGGCAGGGGAGCGTGGAGCCAGCTCCCACTCGGCCTCTGCTCCTTAGATCCCCAGCCCCCAGGTGATGAGGAAAACCCCCATCTGTTACTTGGCACATCAGCCACCTGAGACCCCCACCCCTCACAGAAGACCAGCATCAGCATAATACTAACCTATTACCTGGCCCATCAACTACTCTATTACCTGGTCCATCAGCATAACACTAAATCTATTATCTGACACATCAACTAACCTATTACCTGGCGGGCATTAGCCACCTGACACCCTACCCCCACATCACCACAACTTAATAAAAATGGGAAAAATCAGGTAGATGGGGCTCAGAATTTGGTGGCGAGGCCCCTGAGCCCGCCAGCGAATAAACTTCGATTCTCCGACTCTCCGTGTGCCGCTTGGTTTGTGCTCGGGACCACCTGCTGTAACACTTGCTGAAACACAGGGAGATTCCCTTCTCCTGCCGCAGAGCTCAGGAGAGCAGGATGAAAACATTTACACATCAGTTGGCCCACGTTGCCTGGATGGCTCCACCTTAGAGGAAGGCCCTGGCCACGATTGAACAGGAGCAGAATGAAATGTAAATGTAGCATCTTGCCCTTGCAGGGAGGCTGCAGCTGCAGAGCGGGGTGGGATGGCCACGATTCAGGGATGCGCACAGGGCTCTTGGGTCCAGTACGCTCATTCTGGGCTTGCAAGGACTTTGGAAACTGACAGGCGATGAGCTATGTGAACTAAAATGAAAACTTAAGCCCTTGGCTGACTGAGTGGATCCCCTGTTGGCCAAGAGGACCCAAGAAATTCCCTAAAGCTGAGTTGCTGGCCATGAGAAGGGAGGTCAGACACGCCCCCTCAGGCCCCCTCCCTTCGTGGAGATGTCCTTTGTGACTCACTGACAGGCCTCAGGCCATGCAAGACAAAGCTTGGACCACACCCACAGGTCTTCAATTTACTTAACAGCTCACTTGAGTCTGGGTAAATGTCCGGTAAATGTTAGGCAGCTTGTTTCTGATTAACAGACTTCCTTCTCTTAACTTAAAACATTCCAAAACTTTAGACAAAGCTTCATTTCTTTAACTAATTACAAATCAAAGAATCTTTAAGCCCACCTATAACTGTAACCCCCTGCTTTGAGATGTCCTTCCTTTTCAGGCTAAACTGATGTACGCCTTCCATGGATTGACTTTTGACTTTTTGTGTAAGTCCTGCCTCCCTGAAATGTATACAATCACGCTGTGACCCAACTGTGCTCTAGGCTTCTTGGGTGTGGCTCTCCGGGCCATGGTCACACATATTCAGCTCAGAATAAATCTTTAAATTATTTTACAGAGTTTGAGTTTTTTTCCGTTAACAACTTCATTGAAATCGATGCAGATGTGCAGAATGTTCACTGATCAATGCGACCACCAGGCAGATGCCGTCCACCCCGGCTGACACTGACTGGGAAGGACCCCAGGCACGGGGCGCATACGGGGAACCCCAGAAGTGGAAGGTGTTATACTTTCAATCCTCTCTCACCAGTGGTATCACTACCCTTCTGTAAAGCCCCACACTCTTGGGATAACGACAACATGCCTCCTCCCGACAGGCAAGGTCTCCACGGTCAGAAACCCACATCATTTTGGGCTCTTCATCCCCCAGGCAACCTGTGTGCTGGTTCAGTCATTTTGAATACCCATGTTCCCTCTTCTGCCCAGAAGGCCATCCTGCCATCTCAGCGTGGCCATTCATTCACTCATTTGTTCATTCACTCACTCATTCATAAAGAGCCGTGGAGGGCCCACCCTGGGCCAGGCCTCGGCCTTGGTGCTGGGACATGGTGAAGGGTGGGATGTGGCATTCAGCTCAGAGTCTGAGGTCCAAATCCAGCCAGTGCTTGGCCCTCAGACACACAGCCACCCCCACCAGGTTGCAGATGGTGCTGGGGCCAACTAGGAACAGGGTCCTGGGATCAGAAGGCCATGAGCTCTGGACCATGTCTGTATCATCTGTGCTCTGTGATGGGCAGTGGACACTGCCTCTCTGTCATTTACCCCAGCTGCAAAGTGGTCATGCAAAGTTTTGTCTGGCTCTCCACATGCCAGCCAAGTGACCTCAGACAAGTGGCCCTTCTTGGTATTTGAGTGACCCTTATAACTCAAATAAAGGTGGCATTACTCAATCCCTGAAGAAGGTTCTAGGTTAGTGGGGGAGAAATACACATATGCAAATTATAATTCTGGTTTTGTAAAAAATGACAGTTGTATATGTGCCTCTCTTTCTCACTAAACTAGAACTTTCCTCAGGGGCCAATAAATGTCAGTCATGATACAAATCATCCATCCATCCATCCATCCATTATCCATCTATCCATCCATCCATCCATCCATCAATATATGCATCCATCTATCCATTCATTCATCCATCATTCCTCATCCATCCATCCATCTATCCACCATCTATCCATGCATCCATTCATCCATCATCCATCCATCCATCCATCATCCATCCATCCATCCATCAATATATGCATCCATCTATCCATTCATTCATCCATCATTCACCATCCATCCATCTATCCATGCATCCATTCATCTATCATCCATCATCCATCCATCCATCATCCATCAATACATGCATCCATCTATCCATCCATTCATCCATCATTCCTCATCCATCCATCCATCTATCCACCATCTATCCATGCATCCATTCATCTATCATCTATCATCCATCCATCATCCATCCATCCATCCATCAATATATGCATCCATCTATCCATTCATTCATCCATCATTCACCATCCATCCATCTATCCATGCATCCATTCATCTATCATCCATCCATCCATCCATTCATCCACCTTTCCATCTAGCCATTCTTCTATTCATCCAATGCACATTATATGCCCACTCTGGGTTATGCATTCACTCTTCAGAATTTGTCATGAGAGCTGAGCTTCCTGGAGATGTGGTGGCACTGCCTCTCATGAACACATCATGGCCCCAGGCCCATGGCCATCAAGCTACCCTTGGGCTATATATCACCTGCCAGCTGACTATGATGGCAGCCACCTACCTGCACCCATGATGAGGCCTGGGGCAGTGTCCTTGGTGTGCACAGTGCCTGATACATAGGGATTGTCAGCCCAGCGCAGATGCAGGTGCAGGTGGCAGTCTGGCTGCAAAGAGGAGAGAAGAAACAACGGTCAGCACTTGGGTAGGAGTGTTCTTAGGAAGACTAGGCCTGAGGTCAAACCTTCCCCTTGGCTTTTGGGTGAGAAGGCAGACCTGGGAGTGTCTTGGAGGAGTGGATGGAGGGTGGGAAGAAGGCTTGGAGGCTGACCATGAGGTGAAGGGCAGCTTTGCCCAATGGCCTGGGAGGGATGGGAGGTGGTCGAGGGTGTTTGAGGCAACCAGGAGGGTCGGGGGGTTCTCTGGTCCAGATCAGGGGCCCTGTGGCATCTGGTATGGTGCCCCTGCTCATGGATGCAGCAAGTGGGGCTCCTCTCAGGGAGGGCTCATGGGTCCCGGCAGGTGGGCTTCCCAATATGGCTCCTGCGTGCAGTGCTGGGCTGAGGGACATGATTCCTGGAGCCTGCACAGCCCAAGCTCATGCTCACTTGTCCAGCCACCCAGTACCTTTACTGGGAGCCTCTACGTGACCACAGTAGGCTGGGCAGCAAAGGAGAGCTGTGGACACCCCACAGACCCTCCCCACCTTGAGAGGCAGAGGGGTGAGTTAGTGTCCTAGAGCTGTGGGGGGCTGGCTCTGGTGACCCCATTTCTTCTCTGCCCTCTCTGGCAGCCTGAGATGCTGAGTCTCAGACGCCGAGCCCACCTGGGTGACCCAGGAGCCCCACCAGAGACTCCCCCTAACCAGCAATGCCAAAAAGCTTGCAGGGTAATGATCCTGGGGTCAGCCTTCCTGGCCTCCCCAGGTCAGGGAGTTCCATGGGACAAAGTGAGATGGGCAGTCCCCAGGCCTGGTCACAGAAAGGGCAGGGCCTGCAGTCCTTGCACCTCCTCTTCATGGCTCTTGGCGTCTTTCTCTGTGGGCTGGGGCAATACCTTTGCTTCACAGGGCTGCTGAATTAACATGGGGCTGCCTCTGGTGAGAGTCTGTGTCCAGCCTGCCCTGGACAGGGTGCTGCCTAACGGCTCAGTTATAATAAAGGTGAACATTTTCTTTGCCCTCTTTTATTTATTTATTTTTTCTGGTAAAAATCTCCGGTTTAGAAATACCCTAGAATTGGGAGCCCACAGGTACAGATTTCAACTTAGGAGGTGCCACTAATTCACTGGCAACTTTAGGCCCCGGTTTTCTCACCTGTAAAACGGAGACTGTGGTGCCTGCTGCCCACATCCTGTGTGAGATCATTCCAGAACCCCACTACAATATTATGGCATCTGCTCTATCCGAGAGACATTCTCTGTCTTCATTTGATGTTTTTATAACACTTTCATCTGGCCCATGAGCTGTGTTTTATATAGATTATCCTAAATTAAAAATTAAGCTGCTCAGTAAATTGAATATTGATCTGGACTGGACGCCTCCAGGAGGCATCCCCAGTTGACGGTCGGGCTGCATCTGTCTACACTGAGGCTTTAAAGACGTACTGGCTGCACTGCATATTGCACGCTTCCTTCCACGTGTGACGCCCAGAGCAGGGACATCTGCAGAGACAGCAGGCAGACAAGCGGTTGCCAGGGCTGGGGGCGATGGGGGTACCGGGATAGCTAAGGGTCTGGGTTCTTCTGGGTGACGAAAATGTACTGAAATGGACGGGGCCAATGGCTGCACAAGTCTGTGAATATACTGCAAACCATCGAGCTGCACACTTTAAAGGGTGACCTGTGTGGTATGTGAGTGATAGCTCAATAAAGCTATTAAAAACCAAGAAAAAGAAATAAAAAGTGACAAATTTAGCCAAAGGAAGGCCCTGTGCCTGTTGCAGAGTCACACTCCTGCAGGTGACTGGGGGACTGGAGGCCATCCCCAGGGCAGCCCAGGGGCCCTGTGCTGAAGATGACAGGACCCCGGGGGGCAAGGGCCTGGTCTCTGTGTCACCCCAGGAGAGCCCTCCCCTCCAGGAACACTTGGGTTGAACAGGGATGGACCAGCCCCACTGAAGACCCGTGAACTGTTACGACATCATCTGCTCCAACAGAGGTTTCTGATTTCTAGGACTGGAAGGCAGATCGGTGAGTTAACAACTTTGGTGGGACCGTTCAGTCCTGTCCCCTGCCCACCCAGACAGACCAGGCAGAAAGGGGAAGGGGTGTGCGGGAGAGGCAGAGCCCTGTGATCTCGGTGGAGGGGGATCCTTGCTGCAGAAGGAAGCTCCAGGCAGGAGGAGCCTCGGCAGGGGCTCAGCCCACTTTGGTGCACCAGGCTTCCTGGAGGGCCAGGTGGGGCCGGGAGGGACCAGGGCTCATGGGCTGGTCTCTGCCAACCTTGTCCACTCCCTGATGAGCTGGCACATCGGACCATTTTCTGAGCTTGCAGTGGGCACAGCCAAGTTAGCGGGCACTGCCTTGCGGACCCTGGCTGCCTCCTCCTGCCCTGGCCGCTGGTGGTCTGTCCAGGTTGTTTGTTGGGCCAGAGGCGGAACACCCCACAGGGCTGCCTGTGGTCAGCTGTGGTCCACAGGCCTCTGGCAAACGCAGCAGCGCTGCAGTGCCCTTTGCATTCCCCTTGGGGCCTGCTGACGGCCACACCAATGTCCTCCCTCTGGCTAGTGGAGCAGCTGCAGGTGCTCTGCTGGTGCCTGACAGCTGGAGACCAGGCCACACGCGTCCCAAGCAAGGCTGGGCTGAGCAATGCAGGGAAACGCAAGCCAGGCGGGCCTGGAGGTGCTGCCCCACAGGGCACATAGATGCCCTGCGACGGGGGCAGAATAGCATCAGAACTCCAGAGCGCCCCTTGGGTGCGCACTGGCAGAGATGGGAAGTCCTCCGAGGCCACCCAGCATGAGGACAGCCACGTGACAGCCCAGTCCTGACAGAGGTGAGTCTCGGTACTCCAGGGCTGGGTGGGCGGGGAGGGGAGGCCCGCGCTGCCCCAAGACGCCCCCTTCTCTGCTCCTTTGGTACACATGGGCCAGCAGGGCTCTAAAGAAGGGCACAAAGTGTCCAGCAAGTCATCAGACCTGTCGGATGGACAGAGAGGGCAGGAGCCTACCGTCAGCCCACCTGGATGCCCGACTCCTGCCTCAGCCCCGAGTCTAAGAAGAGTTTTCGTAGGCTACAAAATGAATCAGTTTCTAGTCTGAATTCGAGATGAAAACAAATTCAAAACCATCTTCCAATTAAGGTGGATCACCCTAAAACAGATCTGATCCTACCACTCACCTATTAAAAATGCCCCTTCATTTCCCCATTGCTGGAAGGAGATGTCCCCAGACAGGGAGCTGACTGAACAGGCTGGGAAAAGATTCGTGACCATGACCCAGAGTTAAAAGAAAAACAGAAGGCTGAAAAATTACATGTGCATTAGGATCCCAACGATGACCTTTTAACATGTGTATGAGCTAAAAGATTGTAAAGAAAAATACCCGATTATTGTCACTTCTGGGTGGTGTGATTATAGTTGGACCCTATTTCCCTATCTACATATTTCTTATTTTCCAAGTATTCTGTCATCAGCAGGCATCACTTTTATGATGAGAAATAAACCCTCAGATGCTATTTGCCCTGTTCACTGAGAGGACGTGTGGCCGAGTCAGAGAGGTCTCTGTGCATGGCCAAGCGTGTCCCAGCCTTGCATTTACCCCTTCGCGGCGCCGCGGCCACACGCGCAGGACGACGGCCTCCCGCCCCCGAGGCTTTCCCTCTGCATCGGCGAGCCCTGGTGGCCTGTGCACTCTGCTCCCCACGGTCTTCGTCTCCGCAGGCCGCCTGGGGCTGTGCACTCACCAGTTTGCTCCTGTCTTTATTATTTTAAAGTCGGGACATAAATCTCAGAGGTTATCTCCTCACTGAGCTGCGTAATTGCAGACAAGAATCTATTCTTAGCAAAAACTTGCTTTGACAGATTAATATGGCTTTACTTTGCTGGCGATGATACAAAAATTAGCCCTTTCACAGCAATTCTGTTCTCGGAAGGGTTTTTACAAACAGCAGGTAATTACTTCCCTGCGCAGGTCGCCAGGTGTTATCACCCTCCACTACTGGCAGGAGGGGCCTTGTGCGGGCACCTCAGTGGCAGCTCAGGCCTGGGCGGAGCATGCGGCTCTCTGTGTCTGGGGGGCAGGCAGGGCCGCTGTCCTGGAGGCACAGAGCCCCGCCCAGGCCTCAGGGGTCAGGGCCCTCAGTGTGGGTGCAGGAGCTGACTCTGCCCATCTGTCACTGCAGGGGCCCCCGTGGGCCCCCCATTTTCTGATTCTACCAGACAGAATCCCAGCAAGGCAGGGATTGTTTTCTGTTACGTTGACTGGTGTATCTGAACACCCAGAAGAGTGCCTGGCAGGCAGCAGGTGCTCATGTGTATGTGTTGAATGAGTAACGCTGTGAAATAGGCACTGCTATTCTTTCTATCATACGCATGAGGAAACTGAGGCAGTATGACGGATGGATTCAGGGGTCCCCAATGTGCAGTCCTGCCTTTGGGGCTTACAGTTGACAGTGGGAAACAGAGAAGCAAGTATGCCCAGTGAAGTCTTCTCAGTGGAGGGGACATGTGGGTAGGGTATTCAGGTATCAGCAGGAGTTTGCTGGATGAGGAAAAGGGAAAGGCCTGCTATCTCTGTGCCAGGGATAGGTGGGTCCCTGTAGTATTTCATTTCATGCTCACCACAATGTCACAGGGATTTTTATCTTCTTCCCCCTCCTTTACATCAGAGGCTTAGAGGCATTGGTTGACTTGGCCAAGATAGTACAGTCAGTGGGGAAGCTGAGACTGTAGCTCTGTGTAGTTCCAGTTCTGGACTCTTCCCCCACCCTGAGTGGCCCAATGCCTGGGGACGATTAGGATGCTTGTGGTGGTGAGCTCCCTGTGGCATGCAAGGAGAGAGGCCCTGGAGAGGCCATGTCCGAGGTCAAGGGGGTGGGGGAGAGGGAGTGAGAAGCCTGGCCAGACTCCCATGGCCCACTCAGCCCTTTCCTGCCTGCAGCTGCTGGTCACTGAGTGTTACTAAGACAGGGCCTCTTAGAGAGCCACCCTTCTACTCTCACCAGCATGAGCCTGTGTGCCACCTGGGTCCCTGGTAGCCATGCAAGAGCTAGGGGAAGTCCCCACCACTTTGGGAAACCCCTTCCCCCTTCCCTCTATAGGTGGCCAAGGGACTCAGGCAGTCTACACCTGTATTCATGTAGAAAGGTAGCCCTGGGACCAGCTTTGGTGCTCATGACACTTGGGCTTTGGCCCAGTTCTGCCACTTGCTATGATGGTACCTTGCCTTTGGTGGCAGATTAGAAATATCCACTCCCTACCCCTTACCTCCATGGGCAGAGTGTACTTCCCTGGTCCTTGATGTTGGCTGATGAGATCTACCAGATATAACACAAGGAGGCTTGGAATGTGCTTGCCTGTTTCTATTTATCCCCTTGTACCTCTGCTGTCACATGAGAACTGGGCTGGTCCCAGGAGGAGGAGGCAAGATATACAGAGCTGAGGCCAGTCTAGAGCAGTTAATTCCCAGACACGTGAGCAAGCCCAGCCCAGTAGAACCACCCGGCTGAACCCAGCCAGGATCAGTAGAACCACCTGGCTAAATCCAGCCAAGAACAGCAGAGCCCCCCAACTGAGCACCCTCAGATCTGGAGTAACTGTGTTTGGGGTGGTTTATGACTCAGAAATTTTGTAAAAGTGAACTGATACACGTCTCTCTCTGACTTCCAGTTAACTCTCTGTAAACAAGAAGTTACACTTAACCCTTTCCACCTCACCCAGCAGCAGCAGGTGGTTCATGTATCTCTGATGGTCGTTCTCAGACATCACCACCTCTGACCTTCTGGATTCCTGCAGTAATGTCTTATGTCCACCCCATGGGAGGTGTGTGATGTGAGCAGAGGTACTTACAGGCTTACAGTTGGTGGGTTTTCCATTCATATCCATGCTGGGTGGTCGCAGGTAATCCCAGTCTCGGCCCTTGTTGTAGGTTATAAGCGTCATCACCTTCCCATCAATTTTTTGATTTGCCAGAAAGACTCCTTTCACCCCTCTGACCTGGGACAAAAATGCAAGAAGGATTTTAACCCTACCCTGGAGCTCTCATGCCTGAGTATCCACCGTGCTCCAGCCCCACACTGAGCGCTCTGCACACACGGCCTCATTTCACCCTCACAACGGCCTTGCAGCCGCGGCATGTTCTGGAGGTGAGTGAGGCTCAGAGGGGCCGGGGACCCAAGACCCTGCCCCAGCTGCCGCAGCAAGCTAATTCCGCCTGGCTTCATGGCCTGAGTGATATTTACGACCTGGGCTGTCCTCCCAGGTCCCAACGCCAAACCGCAGATGGCGAGGGGTGCGTCAGTCACCCGTCCTCGCCCAGGGCTTCCGGCTCAGAGCTCAGAATCCCCCACACTGCCTGTTTCTCTTGCACCCACAGGCCCTGGCTTTCCTCTGGGGACCCCCTCAGCTCAGCCCCCATTCAAAATAGCAAGGACTGAGGACGGGAGGGCCACGCTGACCCCAGCATGCCCTGGGCAGGGTCCGCTTTGCCTTCATTGCTCAGGGCTGACCTCACTCCCCAGACACTGCTCCCTCTGCGGGGACCGCAGCTGCTGTGGCTGGGATAGGGCAGAGTGTGTGCATATGTGTGAGTGTATGAGCATGTGTGTGTGCTTGTGTGTATGTGTGTGCGTGTGAGCATGTGTGCCTTGTGTGTGAGAGCATGTGTGTGTGAGAGTGAGCATGTGTGTGTGTAGAGGATAAGGGTGTGTGAGTGTGAGCATGCGTGTATGAGTGTGTGTGTATGTATGAGTGTGTGTGCGCGTGCTTGTTGGCTATAGACCGCTGGGTGGGTCCCTCCGTGCAGGACTTTGGACCAGCCACAAACCCACCGGGCGGCCGCGCCTCCTTTGCCTGTCTGGAGACAGCGGAAGCCCACACCGGCAGGGATGCTCTGAAAGTCTTGTGTCTCACCAGCACCCAAAGCCCCTGCAAGGCAGGCAAGAGAAGGGCACCAGTGCTTGGTCGAGCCGCCTTCCCGACATCCTGGGGGCAGTGCAATGGCGATGTGCCCCGTGATGGCTGGTTTTATTTGGTGATTGCTGTTTTCTATCTCAGCTGGGTCCCCGTGAAAACACATGGCAATAAATAACGTGGATCCCTCCTGTCCCGGGCAGACCAGCGGTTACCGGCCAAGCCCCGGGGGAGGGGTCGGAGGGGGTCCGGCTGGCTGAGCATCAGCTCCGAGAATCGACAGGGCTTTGTGTAACTGCCGCTCCGTGGCTGTCTTCATTCTCTGTGGCTGCTATAAAACATTACCACAAATAGGGTGGCTTAAAACAGCAGAAATTTATTCTCTTGGAGGCTGGAGTCCAAAATCAAGGCTTCGCAGGGCCATGCTCCCTCTGCACGCTCTGGGGGAGGGTCCCTCCTGCCTCTCCCAGCACCCGGCGGCTCCTGGCCTTCCTCGGCTTGTGGCCGCACCTCTGCCTCCTTTTCTGCGGCTGAGGCTCCTCCTCTGTCTCTTGTGCGGACGTGAGGGCTGGACTCAGAGTCCACCAGGATAATTCAGGGTGATTGCAGCTCAAGCCTTTCACTTAATTATGCTGCGAAGGTCCCTTTTCAATAAGGTCCCACAGCAGGGCCTGGGTACAAGGACGTGGCAGGCCTTTTGGGGGGCCGCCATTCGGCCCAAGGCAATGCCTGTCTCCCAACCGTGACCGGGGATCCTCAGAGGCGGGGGACGGGGCTCTGTGCCCTGACTCCCCACTTCAAATCCAAGCTCAGGCGCGGAGAGGAGCCCGAGAAAGCTTGCTGTCTTGCCTTGAAGCCAGGTGTGCCCTGCAGAGGGACAGGCCTCCACGGACGCCTCGAAGTGCTGGCCTTCCAAGGCAGTACTTGCCAGCGACATCTGGAACAAATGTTTTTGCTGGATTTGCTACTGGGTGCACAATAACCATGACAGTAACAGCACCGGCCGCGCGCAGCAGACCTCAGGTGCCGGGGGCCACACCAGGCCCTCCGCATGTTATACCTAATCCCCAGAAGAGGCAAGTGCTGGGGACAAAAAGTTGTGCTGTTCTCCCCGTCTAATAGGACTGATGTCTGAATCCTCACAGCAACCCTGGGAGGAAGGTACTACTACCATCCTTGTTTCACATGGGGAAGCACAGGGAGGTTAAGTAAGCTGCCTAAGGCCACACAGCAAACAAATACCAGAACATGGACATGAACCCAGGCAGTAAGGCTCCAGAGTTGGGCCTGTATCCACCAGCCTGATTCCTTTTTGATGGATCTCGGGAAAGCGATGTCACTTGCGAGGGCCCCCAGCTAGAGCTGCCTTTGGACCTGGCCATCATCAGTCTCTTTCTGTTCCTCATTCCTCTTCCCTCGTGGGCTTGGCGCACAGATCTGTGCTGCTCCCTGCTTCCTCCCCTGGCTAGCTTTTGTGCCGCCTCAGCTCAGTCTTTGCACCGCCCCCTCCAGGAAGCACTCCCTGACTCCTGCCCCGGGCTGTCCAGTCGCTGCTATACGGTGTCCCCAGGCACTTGGGAGCCAGTCTTCTTGCTCCATGAGGGCTGGACGTGGCATCCCTCTGTCCCGCGGGCGGGGCCCGGGGCGTGGCATGAGGTACCTGCATCACCGACGCCGTGGCCCGAACAGCCCAGGAAGCCTGGCCCTGTCTGAGCTCCCCCGGCCTTGGCACCTCCCCTCCTCCTCCCAGCAGGGCTGCGTCATGCAGCAGCCAGGACAGCACCTCCAGAGCCAGGTCTGTGACCTGCGCATCCTGCTCAGAGGCTCTGTAGGACAGCGCCTTTGGGGGACAGGGGTCCCAGCCTCAGGCAGGAGAAGGGCCTCCTGCAGGGTAGCTTTCGGCAAGCAGCAACTGCTGGGGAGCGACCCCGACAAATGGGTTCTCACTGTTAACAAATGATTCCATTCATTACTTTCCTGGGGACAGTTGTTCCTGCTGCTGATGACAGGGGACAGATGGATGCTGAAGCCACCATGCTGGCTCCGTCTGGGAGGTGCCTCCTACTCACAAGCCCATAAACCAGAATATCTGCCCAAGGCTCCGCTGGCCGCCTGTGTGACACACTTGGACAAGAGGCCACCATGTGCCAGCAAGGAACTCAGCTCACCCCTCCCCAGCACGTATCACCTGCCTGCGGCCTAATGGCACAGGAGCGTGTCCCCCCATCACCGGGGCTTCCCACGGGCAGGGCATGCAGGAGGAACTTGGAGGTGGAGGGGAGAGGGTCCCCAGAGGAGGGGCCCAGCTTGGAGCACACAGACTTGGACGAGTCCTGGGTTTTCTGCTTATGTCTGGGTCTGTCTGGGCAGCCTCAGTTTCCTGACTTGTAAGTGGGCTGGGGTGTCCCCCTCCCTGGATATGGTGTTGATAAGAACAAAGGACATGGCCTGTGAGTGGCTTGCCTGGGCAGGGCCGCTGGGTGTCTGAGGGACACTGATGGAATCCAAGTCGAAGCGAGATGGCACCGTGCACAGGCTCCCCCTGGCCGGCCGGGCCCTGGGTCGGAGCGCTTCTCTCTCACTCTAAAGGTACCCACAGAACATCCTCTCGGCCTGCAGAGCCTAAGATATTAGGCCTTTCACAGATGTTTGCGGACCCCAGAGACGGAGCATGGTGGGGGAAGCAAGTGGGGAGAGACGGGGATGGAGGGTGTGGGCGGGCAGGCCTTGCTCCACAACCGCACCCGCGGTCCCACCTCAAGGATGTCGATGACCACGCTCTCCTCGGCCTGCCGCGAGCTGCGCACGTCCCGCAGCGCCAGCGCGTAGTGCACGCCGCGCGGGTCCGACTGGTACAGGTTGTAGGTGTCTGCCTGGTACCACTCCTGCACCGCCACGAACACCTGGTTCTCATCCGTGCTGATGATCTGCAGGTCCTGGGGGGACACAGGGGGTGGGGCATAGGGTCAGAGACAGGCTGAGGGTGGTACAGGGAGGAAGGGGGAGCTGGCGGCAGCATCAAGCTGACCTGGAGCTGCATCTGGGCCCGGCAGCTCTGGGCCCTGTGGCTGTGGACTTCCCTGGGCCTCTGTTTGCACACCTCTAAAATGGGGGTGACACTGGGACCCTCCGTACCTGGTGTGGGAGGGTGGCCAGGGACACCTCCTCTTCCTGGTCCCACACCAGGCAGTCTGGCCCCTGTCCAGCAGTGGGGAGGAGGCATCCTACCTCCATGCACCCCCAGATGGTCAAAGTGACTTGGGGTGATGGCTGGCTGCCCATCCCCCCACTGCCATCGAGAGGATCAGTGAGTCCTCTACTCCTTCATTCATTCACCACGTATTTGTTAAGCACCTACTATGTGCCAGGCACTTTCTAGGCACTGGGATACAATGGAAAACCAGATGTTGTCTCCACCCTTTCGACATGGCAGGCAAGGGAAGTCTGGGAGTAATCCACTCAGCTCAGGTCCTGGGCTGCAGCTACCGCACTGACACACCAGCTGCCATTCATGCACAGCCCTGCGCCAGCCCCATGCCAGCACCGGGCCGTGGGTGCACGCTCTGGCGGGGAAGGCAGAGAAGGAGCCCAACGAGGACCCCACAGGGTGGTCAGGGAGGCTTCCCCAGGTAAGCTTGGGAGGGGAAAGTGCTGGGGAAGGGGCAGCCACGGCAAAGGCCCCAGCCTTGGTTCCTGCTTCTGGGAGCAGGCGGCTCAGGCAGCTCCCGAGTGGGCTCAGCACAGTGGTCTCAGGTTCAGGTCCAGATTGTGGGCTTTTTTTTTTTTTTTTTTTGGAGACAGGGTCTCACTCTGTCACTCAGGCTAGAGTTCAGTGGCATGATCATAGCTCACTGCAGCCTCAAACTCCTGGGCTCAAGTGATCCTCCTGCCTCAGCCTCCTGAGTAGCTGGGACTACAGGTGTGCACCACCACGCCCGGCTAATTTTTTAGTTTTTGTAAAGATGGGGTCTCACTATGTTGCCCAGGCTGGTCTCGAACTTCTAGCCTCAAGTGATCCTCCCACCTCGGCCTCCCAAAGTGCTGGGACTACAGGTGTGAGCTACCAAACCCAATTCTAGTTCCAGATTTTTTAATTCAGAAAAAACCAAAACTCAATGAAATACAAAAGAAAATCAGGGATAACTTTGATTTCTTGCTTTTCTTTTCTCCCGTGTGGGAGGCACCAGAAGAGGCATCGGCATAGCCCATTCTGAAGCCATCATGAGCTTTTATCCCACAGCTGCTATTACTCGGCCTCTCTCACTTGGAAACTTTTACTGCCTGCTGGCAACAAGGCTACCAAGACACAGGCGCTGCAGATGGATGGCGGAGGAGAGGCCAGGCTGGCATGTGGCTGGGGTGGCCTGAGGATGCGCCTCACTCTACCTTTTCTCATCTGAGGGGAGGGCGCAGGGAGGTCACTGTTTTTCTGCGTGGTGACAGACCGAGTCCCTGCTCTGCTGGTGGAGCGCGGTCTTCAGTTGGGGGTGAGGCCGCCGCTGCCTGGCAGGTCATTCGGGGCCAGGCTGGAGCCTGCCCCTCACCGTGCATCCACAGAGGGCTCTGCAGAAAAGGGGTGCCATGTTGGGAAGCACCTACCGTGCACCCCACGGACAGGGAGGACCCCATAGCCACGCAAGCTGGGGCCTGTGTCTCAGGACATAAATCTAACACACAGAAACAACCGGAACCAAGACACGCATAACCAGGGCAGGAGTACAGGGCAGGCCCAGGGCCTGGCGGGTCCCATCTATGCAATGGGACCACAGAGTGACGCGTGTGAGGTGCCTGGAGGTGGCAGGCTAGTTGCTGCTCTTCTTTCCCTGCCTTGGCACCCTGCCCCCGTGTAGTGGTCACTCTCTGCCCCGCCGAGGAGGCCTGTCCACCAGTCCCCGCCCTGGCAGAGAATCGGCCCCGGCAGTCAGATTGTCCTGCGGGGGTGACCAGGGGGGTCTGGCGAGATCATGGGCGCTTCGAGCTCAGGGGGTCCCTCGGCTTCAACTGCACAGCCAGGGTTCAGTATTCACAGTGGTCGCATTAATTCATTAATTCATTAATTCAGCCTTTGCCTCCTCTGTACCTGGGTAAATGCACTGGGTGTTTTTTATAATCTGGGAGACAAAGAAAAACGTGAAAGTGTCTCAAAGTTACTTGTACTGCCACCCTAGAGAGACTTATTTTTTTTAATCTTTATTTTTAATTATTATGGGTACACAGTAGTTGTATATATTTATAGAGTACATGTGGTGTTTTGATATAGACATACGATGCGAATTAATCAAATCAGGGTAATTGGGGCATCCACCACCTCAGGTATTTAACATTTCTTTGTGTTAGGAACATTCCAGTTCCATTCCTTTAGTTATTTTAAAGTATACCCTAACTAATTGTTGATTATAGTCCCTTTGTTGTGCTATCAAACGTTGCTCATTCTATCTATCTACTATATTTTTGTGCCTATTAACCATCCCCACTTTATCCCTCCCTCCCTGCTACCCTTCCCAGCATCTGGTAACCCTCCTTCTCTGTCTCCGTGAGATCATTTGTTTTTGGTATTTAGCTCCCACATGTGAGTGAGAACATGCAAGATTTGTCTTTCTGTGCTTGGCTTATTTCACTTAACATAATGTGCTCCAGTTCCTTCCATGTTGTTGCAAATGGCAGGATTTCATTCCTTTTTGTGGCTAAATAATATTCCATTGTGCATATGAACCACAACTTCTTTGTCCATTCACCCATGGGTGGACACTCAGGTTGATTCCATACCCTGGCTATTGTGAACAGTACTGCAATAAACAGGGAGCTCAGAGACCTTTTCGATACACCGAGTTCCCTTCTTTTGGATGTCTGCCCAGTGTGGGATTTCTGGGTCCCAGGGTAGTTCTATTTTTAGTTTTTTTGAGGAAACTCCATACCGTTCTCCATAGTGGTTGTACTACTTTACATTCCCACCAATAATGTACGAGGGTTCCCCTTTCTCCACATCCTCACCAGCGTTTGTTAATTGCCTTTTTGATAAAAGCCATTGTAACTGGAGTGGGACGAAATCTCGTTATAGTTCTGATTTGCATTTCTCTGATGATTAATGATGTTGAGCATTTTTTCATGTACTTGTTGGCCATTTGTATGTCTTCTTTTGAGAAGTGTCTATTCAGATCCTTTGCCCGTTTTACTTTAATTGATCAATTTATTTTTTGAGACAGAGTCTCACTCTGTGACCCCAAGTAGAGTGCAATGGTGTCATCACAGCTCACAGCAACCTCAAACTCCCGGGCTCGAGCGATCCTCCTGCCTCGGCCTCCCAAGTAGCTGGGACTACAGACACATGCTTTGCCCATTTTTAAAATCAGAGTATTATATTTTTTCCTATTGAGTTGTTGGAGCTCCTTATACATTCTAATTATTAATCCCTCATCAGATGGGTAGTTTGCAAATATTTTCTCCCTTCCTGTGGATTGGAGAGACCTAATATTAATATTTTAAAATGTTTATGTTTGGGCTTTTTCCCAAGCGTGAGTCATATATTTTTAATGTATAGTTTTAGCTTGCTCCTTCACATCATATGGGGAGCAGTTTCCTCTGCTGTTAAAATTATCTGTAAACACTGCTTTTAATGACCACATGATATTCCATTTTATGGATAGACTAGATGTTATTGAACCATTTCCCAACTGGTAAATCTTTAGTGTTTTCAACATTATTGCAAGACAGTCATGAACATTCCTAGATGTAGATCTCTGCCTCTCTGGTTATTTCCTTACTGTAAGTTCCCAAGAAAGGAAATCGCTGCAATGGAGATTGGGGACATTCTTAAAGCTCATGCTACTTGTTGTTAAATTGCTGTCCTCAAAGTTTTCATTAGTTCCTTCCAAACCAGCAGGGTTAGAGGGCGCTCATTTCACTTTATGTATGCTAATATTGAGGATGGCCTTTTAAAAATATCTGCTGGTCACAGAGTTATAAATAATAGGCAATTTTTGCTAAATGTTGCATTTATTTTATTTTATTTTTGAGAAAGGATAGAAGCAGAGACATTTGTTGACATTTTTAAACAAAAGACATGAGAAACAGTCACATATATGGGTATGTGACTGTACATCTTTGTGTGGCCTGGTTCTTGCCTGGAGAAATATGTGGAAGGAAACACCAGGGTTCCCAATATTTGTTATCCAGTGGAATTAAGCCTGCTTGAAAGTAACAGAAACAGGCAAAAAAAAAAAAAAAAAAAAAAAAACAACCGAGACAAGATAGAAGCCCATTTCTCTCCTCTGTAAAAGAAGTCTGGAAGTAGACAGTCCAGCTTGGAAGTGCCACAAAGTCACCAGGGACAGAGGCTCCTTTCTTCCAGGTCACCACTCCCTGTCCCTGTCCCACGATGTGGCTCTTGTCCTCATGGTTCAAGGTGAGTGCTAGAGCTCCGGCCATCATACTGACAGGCGAGGCAGCGGGGATGAGGGGAAGAAAGGCTGGCCTTTAGTAGGGGCCTCTGAGAAGTCACACAGGACAATTCTGCTAGCATCGCATTGGCCAGATTCTAGAAGTGTGACCACATGCAGCTGCAAGGGAAGCTGGGAAATGCAGTCTTTCAGCTGGGAATCAAGTACTGGCTAAAGTTCGGCGTTGATTAAACTAGGACGAAGGGCGGAATGGATATGGAGAGTTCCCCAGGAGTTTCCTCCAGGAAGTGAGGCAGTCAGGGAAGGAGAAAGGAAGAGGCAGCCGGAAATGGTGTCATACCTTATAGTATTATATTGTATTACAATGGCATATATACATATTATTCTATCAGTTATACTGAATGCATTTGAAAGGAGTAATTTCGGAAAAGTTTAAAAGCATTTGTATTAGACATGATGGAGGAAATTTCGCCATAGACGTTTATGTAAAATTCGCAGAACACCTTCATCAAATTCTTTCAGCACTTGGAACTTGTCAGCTCACGGCCTGCTGCCTCCGGGGCTCCCAGCAAGTGACCTGCTGTTGGTCTTACCGAGTGTTGCTTGTACGTGACAAGGCATTTCTCGCCTGCTGCTCTCTTTGTCTCTGTCTTTTGACAGGTTGATTACATGTCTTGGTGTGGGTCTCCTTGTGTTTATCCTTCTCGGGGATCAGTGAGCTTCTTATATATTTATATTCACGTCTTTCATCCCTTTTGGGAAGTTTTTGGCCATTATTTCTTCAAATGATCGCTCCGCCCCATCTCTCTTCTTTTCCTTCTGCAGCCCCCGCCAGGCCCGCGCTCGTCTGCACGATGGTGTCCGGAGGCCCCTTGGACGGTGTTCGCTTCATTCGTCTTTTTCTCTCTGTGTCTCAGACTTGATAGTCTTTAAGTACCCTGATTCTTTCTTCTGCCCTTCAGATCTGCTCTTGAATCCCTCAGGTGAATTCAAATAATCCTCAATTATTCTTTTTAGCTCTAGAATCCTTTTTGGTTCGTTTTTACGTTTCCTTTCTCTTTGTGGCTATTTCCATTTTGTCCATACCTCATTTTCTCGTTTTGTCCGTGTTTCTCCTTAGTTCTTTGACCACCCGTATTAAAGTCTTTGTCTAGTAGGTCTGCCATCTGGTCTTTCTCAGAGAAGGTTTCCATTGATTTTTTCCTTGGAATGCATGTTTGTGTGCCTCATAACTTATTTTATGTCAAAAACTGGACATTTGAATATAATGTCTCATCTAATAATATAGTAACTTTGCTAATTAGATTGTTCCCTTTCTGCAGGGCTTGCCATCTTTTGTTTTTATTTTTGATTGCTGTAGGCTGTCTCTGTACCAAGGATCGCCTTACACGTAAACGTAAGGTCTCAGGCCTTTTCTGAGTTGTGCTTTTCCTCGAGCGTTCATGGTGACTGTCTAAATTCCGCCATATATGTGGTTGCTTTTGAACGTACTAGTCCTTCAATATCCAGCTCCCAACAGGGGAAACTAAAAGGGAGAAAAATAGGCTCTAGCCCTTTAAATTCCCTGGAAGTCACTTCAGCTAGAGGTGGTTGTGACAATGGTGCCCATCCGTGTGTCTGCAGCTGCGCAGTCAGGTCAGAAGCAATCACCAATCCCAGCACAGACCCTGGTATTGGGAGGACAAGGTCCTTATTGCCCACTCTGGCTCCTGCAAGCTGTGTGCAGGCCACTCCGGGAACACAGGCACATTTGCTGGCCACAGGGCTAGGCGTGGGGCATGGGTAGCCTTCACCAGGCTAAGAGCCGAAATTCTCAATATTAGCCTTTTTAAAAAAAACAAAAACTGGTAGCCACAGAAGCTGTGGTGTCAAAGTGAACCTTGACATGCCATCCAGGCCCTCACTTGGAAACTGCAAGCCTTCGAATAGAGTTCAGAGCTCCAGAGTAATCACCCGGGACAGATTCTGCCAGCGCAATGGCTGTCTAGGTGGGGAGATGGATCCTGGTGCTTTCTCCTCTGCCATCGTCCCTGATGTCACTTCCTCCTTTATTCTTGTGGTCTGTGAATATTAATTTACTTTAAATACATTATTCCAAATACAGGAATATTTTACTTTAAAGTAAATTTGCATTTACCCTTTTTTATGAATGTTTTTTATATAATTGATAGTTATTTGAATTTTTCTTCTCTTTTATGTGTTTATAGCCTTGGCCTATTTTTTTTTCCTCTCTTAGGGAACCTGAGTATTTTTTTAAATAAAATCATTACAAGTAAACAATTCAAACAAAGGATATTGGCAAATATAAGAAAAACTGTTTAACCTTTATAGTTTCACAGATAGGTAAATTAAAACACCGGAAGGGTATCGTTTGTATCCTTGAACATAGACGGAAGATAGAAAAAAATGATAAAACACAGAATTTGGCCATGCTGTGTTGAAACTGATCCACTCTAACTTTGCTGGTGTCAGGGTGGAAGTGTTTTAGAAAGCAACTAAGCTCCACAAATATTTATATCCTTTGTCCCGTAGTTCTTTTTAGCCTTTAACTTAAGAGAATTAAAAAGAAATACCTGCAGGCACAAATACATTCATTGCAGCACTGTTTGTAGTTATGAAAAATGGAAACAGCCCAGATGTCCAAATGAGAAGAATGTGGCTTAGCTGAACAGGGCACGGTCAACTCAATTGAAAGTCGTGCTGTCGCGTAAAGTGGGTATCGGGTCTCATTCTAGAAAAAGTCTCAGGCTGCATCGTTCTGTGGAAGCAGGCTGTAGAGGGAGCACCTGCTTGTGATTAGGCCACACAAACGTCACTTTGTCACGTGGCCGAGGACTGCGGGAAGCGGGTCGGGGTGGGGACAGAGTGGACAGGGATGGAGGTTTGGGGGCGAGCCCCCCACAATCCGATTTCTACTGTTCTCACCATGTTACTCAGGCAATGGAAAAAAACAGAAAAACTTTGGGGGTGGTGTGGGGCTAGGAAACAGGCAAGAGGCACAAATTCTCCATAAAACAACAAAGTCTGATTAGGAAATTCCGTTAGCCAGTTCTACAAGCTGCGACAGGAACCCGGGGCTGGGCTGCTCTCCCGAATCGGCGGAGCTCTTGGAACGCGAGCCGTGACGGGAAGCCCCTGCAGGGCGCCGGGGTCCCGTTTCCTGGGGAGCAATCCGACTCCCCATCATCCTCAGCTGCCCTCACTGGGCCCTGGGCACGGACCCCTGAGCGAGGACACCGAGAGCCACTACAAATGCCACCCGCTCTGGACAGGTCCCTGGTCTTCCCTTGGGACTGAATGACGTGAAGCTGTGTCTGTCATTTCTGTCGTGCCCTTATGACAGTGGGCTGTGCCTTTTATTAGAGCCCCACGAGTGTTTTCCATGACCTCCAATTTCCACAGAAATGGGGGAGAAGGAAGCCGGTGTGGAATACACCCTATTGAGGGCTCGCAGTGGGGGACACGCCACGGTGCTTCCTGTAAATCTCACCGACAACTTTGAGAAACACACACTGTGACATCACATCTGCAGACGGGGACGCTGAGGTCCAGGGAAGCCATCGCTCAAAGTCACAGAGGTCCTGACTTGTGGCCATAGGCTCCTCGGAACACCCTTGGAAACAACCTGACCGCTGGTCCAGCCACTCCTACGCCCACTGCCGGGGTGGGGGGCGGGCAGAGACGGACCCTGGCGTGGGCCTGACCCCCAGAGGTGCACCCCCCTCTGCAACACTGGGACAGAGGGCTTAAGACACAGGAGGCTTCTGATGGCACAGTCCCTAGGGCCACTGCCCCAGGGGCCAAGGAAAAGCCTCTCACATCTGAAACAGCCCCTCACCCCCCAGGGATGCCAGCTGCCTTTGCCTGAGCTGAAGCCATTAGCTTGCAGTTTTCTCAGCCGAGCCTGGAGTCAGTCTACTAAGCTTGCTCCTTTCCTTCTTTCCTTTCCTTTCTATTTTTTTCTTTTCCTTTTCTTTTTTTAAAGAGAAGTTTTAAGAAGGCCTCCTGGACTTTTCCCATCTCTGGCTCAGGACAGGTCTGCTGGTGCCCAGCACAGAAGCTCCTGTGCCCAAGGACTTTATCACAATCTACAGTCCCCCTCTTAGAAGGCCAGGGCAGTGGTGTCCTCTCCTCTACCCGTACTCTCTGCCCCAGGGCCTTTGCTTGTGCTCAGCCCTCCATGGAACCACTTTTCCTTGCTCTTCCCAGAGCCACTTTATGTCCTTTGGGCTTCAGATGAAATGTCCTCTCCAGGGACACGTCCTCTGTCACTCTATGTCTCGCCCCCTTCACAGCCAATCACAACTTGCAGTTGTTTCACACAAGTGTCTGTCTCCTTGATCTTCCACCTGTTCCCTGTCTGAAAACCCTGCAGGAGCAGGGACCTGGGCGCCTGATCCGCAGCTGCAGCATCAGCTCCCAGCACATTTCTGGCTTAGTAAATCCACGTGGAGGCAGGGAGGCTCAGTCTGTGTCTCTAAATTATGCATGTGGGACAGCAGTCTGTAAAGCACATCCTCTGACTGTCCCCTGGAGGGGACTGTGGCATGAGCCTGGGTCGACTCACTTGGGCCTGGGTCTGAGACCTGCTTTTGTGTCTAACTAGCTGTGTGGCCTCAAACAGGCTCCTCAGCTTCTCTGAACTTGATCACCTCCTCTGTGAAGCAGGAATAACATATAAGCAGGATTGGGATGGTGGAGCTAGGCTCTGAGGCAGGGCCAGGGGCAGGGTTGGAGCAGATCTGCTCCCAGATCCCCCTTGTTTGCTTGCCCAGGCTAGGGGAAGGATGTAGCATTAATTGAGCACCTACTATGTGCCATGTACGCTACTAAGTGGCTGAAGTGCAGGGGTGCATGAAACAGAAATTTTCCCCACCCTTGGCAATGTCAGACAAGAGCAGGGGATGGACACAGGAGCAGGGGTCCCCAGCGCCCTGGGCATCAGGAAGAAAGGTGGGATGAGCGCAGAAAACCGAGGCCTGGACCAGCCCGGAGGGTCACTAGTGAGTGACATGTCTCCTGAAACATCACATGTGCAAGAGTTCTGGTGAAAGACAAAGCAGGCAGAGGGAAGAGCTTGGCAGAGGCCCTAAAACAGGTGGAGGCTGGACACGTCTGAGGCGGGAAGGGGCTGGGTTGGCTGGAATGGAGGGTGTGCGGGGAAAGTTTTTGGAGGAGCATGGCCGCACTTGTCTTGTCCATTCTGACCTGGGACTGCCGAGCACCTCCACATCTGCGAGCTCAGGCTCTGGCCATGGGGCCAGGTAGAATGGGGAGCCACTCTCACCTTTGGCAATGCATACTTCGGCAGCTTCATCAGGACAAATTCATTGCGACGATAAGAGACGTAGTATTTGGTCCGGTTTGTTGATGTTGCCTAACAGGAGGGAAGAAACATATTTTTAAGGGGCTTGATTTCCTGACAAGCCAGATTCTCATGAATGAAAAACTACACATTGTATTCAGCTGATGAAAATTCCCCCTTACTTATACCTGTTCTTCTTGAAACAGATAGACTCCTATTCATCCTTCAAACCCCCATATTAAATGCCCTTCCTCTGGGAAGTCTTCTCTACTCCCTACAGTTAGAACTAACCTCTTTCCCCATGCTCTCTCAGCTCCTTGTTCCCCTGCATCCAAGTTATGGAATAAGATGGAGAAAGATCTGTTTCCCAGATCTTCTTTTAAAAAGGGTACTTTGGTGAGTTGCTGGGTAGAGGAGGAGACGGGCCAAAGATAAGCTCAAGTCACAAAAGGTAACCACCAAACCACTGGGCATGACAAGCAAAGCCAGAGGCAACACTTCCTGAGGACTGTTGCATGGCTGCACCATCCTGGGTGCTTTACCCTGGGCAGCTCATTTGATCCCATAATGAACAGAGGAAACTGAGGCACAGAGCTTGAAAAACTTGTCTCCTAGGTATTATAGTAGAAGAGGCAGGAGAAGAGAGGCTTCTGCTTTCCAGGGAACAAGGAGGAGAGAACAGGGCAAGGGAAGGAGTAGGGGGCAGCCAAAGGGAGGGAAGAAGGGCAGGGGCCCCGGAGGGGACAGTTTCCTGCAGCCGCTGTCTCACTACATGTGTGTGTTAGGTATACATGAGCGTGACTGTGTGCCTCTCATGTGTTCTCTGTGTGCATCATGTGCACACGCATCCCATGCATGCGTATATGTGCACCCTATAGGAAGGTGTGTGGGCATGTGTTCCACGTGTGTGAGCATGAGTCCTGTGTGTGTGCACACATGTGTGTCCCGTGTTTGTGTGTGCACATGGCAGCACGGTTCAGGGCTCCAGAGCACAAACAGTGCCTGGGTTCAGATTCCAGCTCCAGCCCCTATAAGCCATGTGGCCTTGGAGAGTTACACAAGCTTTCTGAGCTCAGTTTCCCCCTGTAAAATGGGACGACATGTCAGAGGCCACCGGATAGGCAGCGGTGGGGACTAGCATCTGGGGTACGCTGGGGGGGTGGCCCCCTAGGAATCATGACGGTGTTGGATGTGGCGATCGTTGCACATCAGCAAATACACAGCAATCCCTTACAATGGCCAACCACGTGCTGTTGATTGTGACTGCGACGAGGACAAGACTTCTCTGGACAATTCCGTCCATGGAGACAGGGACTGTGAGGTCTTGGGGTGGTCTGGCCCTCTGTGCCCCCTGAGCAGGGAGTGCTGTAATGCTGGACACACTGGGGTCCTGAGAGCTCAGAGAAACAGCTCCCGGAGGAGGCTGGCGGACTTCCTGGAGGAAGCAGCGCCCTGCTCCCTCAGAAGGAAGAGCCACTCTTGCAGCAGCAGGAGACAGGCCTGCTTAACCGCAGGGGAGGATGCTGGAGGGAGTGGCTGAGAGAATTCTCTGTCCCTTCTCAGAGTTTCAGGGATGGGGGGAGAAGGCAGCACCAGGCCTGACCAGCCTCCATGCTCCTCTACATGTTTGTGTCCCTGGAGATGGCACTGCAGGGCCTGGGCAGATGCCTGCACTGGGGGCGGGATCAGGCGAGTGCCCCGGAGGCCAGCCTTGACCTACCAGAACGTCCAAAGCACAACAAAACCCTGGAACGTGTGAGCTGCTCACGTTGTGTTTTATGCCGTCCCTTTCACAGAATGACCAACCCGAAGCCTGTGGCCCAGCCAGTGGGGGCAACCGAGCGGCAAGAGCAAGGCAGGGAAGTTTAACCGCAGCAGCGTCATCAGTGGGACCCCGCAGGGCCTTTCCCCAGAAGTGACCGTGGCCAACCTCTGCCAGGGGCCTTCCTTGTGGGAAGGGATGGTCGTGCCCATTGCGTGGATTAGCAGGCGGAGGCTCAGAGGCGCGTCGGGGTCAAAGCCCTGGTGCCGGTCTGAGATACGCTCTGTCTGCAGCCCAGACCCCTCCCGAGCAGCCTTGGCCAGGCCCGGTGGCTTCAGCAAAGGACCTGACCGAGAGCCACGCTGCACCCTGACTTGCTGCCGTGCCAGACACTGGGACCCTCCCAGCCTGCCGGTGGTGTCAGGAGGGCCTGAGCGCCTCCGCTAGGCCAGGGTGCTGCCGGGTCCTTGCACAGGCCGGCTGCCTCCTCCCCAGGCCGCTCTGTACCGAGGCTGGGTGGGGGTCCAGGCTTGCCGCGGTCGCCCACTTGGTGGAGGGGCTGGATTCTCTGCTGACTCCTGAGCCAGTGCTCCTTCTGCCAGAGCAGACTGAAGACATGGCTGTGGGCAAAGGATACTTTAGACACCTGCTGTCCCTGTTGGAAGGTGACTGAGTGCTGCCTGCTCAGATTTGAGGATGTGCAGAGAGGAGCTGGGCGCCCACCTCACGCCTCCAGGGGCTGCTGCTGCAGGGAGGGGAACTGCCCAGTGAGGGGGAGAGCAGGCTGGAGGGCCCAGCCCCCGGTGTCGTCACTGGTAGGGCAATTAGTTTTTCTGAGCCTCAGTTTTCTCTTCAGTAAAATGGGCCCGCTGCCAACACATGAAATTCTGTGAGTAAGGCCATTTATGGGCATCTGTCACAGAGGAGGGGCTCGAGAGACACGCTGTCACTGTGGCCGGAGCATGGATGGGGTGACCACGGGTATCTCCGCTCTTAGATGGTTACAGCAGGGCCACCCCAGCGCCAGGCATCTGCTCCCAGAGACAGAAATGCCCTTTAGGACAGGACCACAGAGGGTCTCAGAATCAGAGGCCACAGGGACTTGTTGCCACAGAACAGAAGAGGCCGCAGGCTGCTGGGCCACCAGCACGCCACTGCCGGGCAGTTCCGCCGGCCGCGGTGCTCAGACGCCCTTCCTGCGCGGTGCGGGGGGCCTGGGGGCTGAGGCCTCTCCATCTCAGCACAGGCTCCCGGGGCTGCTGAGGACCAGGGCGGGAGGAGGGGGAGGAGGGCGGCGGGGGCCTGAGGTGGGAGTTGGGAAAAGCTTTTCCGTGCAGTCGTTGAGAAAGACGGAAACCAGGCTGGAACCCAGACGAAGCCCTGCGGCCCCGACGGCCACAGCGTGCGCCGTGCACTGACTGGACCTTGCTCCTGCTAGAGCCGCCGGGTGCTCGCAGCTGGGCCTGGGCCTGCTCCAGTGCAGCACAGACAATGTCACCTGTTGCCTCGCGCCCACATCAGACAAGGCCACTCCGTGACCGACCGTGGCAGAGGGAGACAAAAGTGAGACCACTGCGCAACCACGTCTGAACACAGACCAGACGTGAACGCTGCCCAAGTCCCCAGGTGACCAGACGTCCAGTCCTGGCTGAGACAGGCGAGGTGGCTTTAGCCCCCCTGAGACTTCCCTCCCTCTGGATAAGACTGACTGTGGTGCCGGGCAGGACCCGCCCCCCAGACAGGACCCGCCTTCCGTCAGCACCGCCCAGAGCCCAGTGGCTTCCTCCAGCCTCCCCAGGTCCCCTCCCATGGCCACACCCAACCATCGGGCCTCTAACCGCCTCACCCAGACGCTGGGTTCCCCAGAGTGCACGTCCCCCTCGCTGCAGAGGGAGGGCCACCTGCTCAGCACAGGTGCGCTCCCGGGCTCTTAGGCTGGGGGCCCTGGCAGGCCAGACCATGTAAAGTTTAGAAACCGCTCAACATGGATGTGGTTACCAATGAAGCTGGCACTGTCTTTGCTCTAGTGCTCAGCGGGTATTTGCAGAAACACAACGCCAGACGCTGGGAGAACAGGCAGTGAGTGTGCACCTGGAGCCCAGCCTCGGTTTGCCCGTGTCCGGCACAGGAACAACAGGAGTAAACCATACAGAATGACACAGCAGGGCCTGGGCTGTGACAGGGAAGGCCCTGGGCTGGGGTGCTCCGAGCAGACAACCAGTGGCCCCAGAGTGGAGGCAGAGGTCAGGGAAGACTTCCTGGAGGAGGCGGTGAGTGATTGGGTCTTGGAGAAGGAGAGGGGATCAGGCAGTGGCGAAGGGGGCGCAGGCGCTCCGGGCACAGGCAGTAGCACGTGCGAATGCAAGGGGCACGGGACGCTGGGGGCTGGGCGTCGGCAGAGGGCACGGACAGGGCAGGGCTAGAGGGCAGGGTGGGTGCTGGTAGGAGCCTCGGTCTGGCCGGCTCTAGTGCAGGCCGGGATGCCCCTGCCTGTTCCGGCTCCTAACTCAGCACACGCCAAGTGCGGAGCGGGGCGCGGGGGAGGAAGCGCTGCTGAGACCGGGCACGGAGGAGGCTGGGAGTGTGGAGGGCCTTCTGGGGAGCCGGCACCCAGCAGCTGCCCTCACAGGGCTTTCTCGGCGGGAGACTTTGGACTTGTCTCACAGGGTCCTGGAGGGTAGGGCAGGGACCGATGGGTGGGAAACAGACTGAGGAAACAGGTGAGGAAACAGACTCAGTCGTGGGGCCAGAATGAGCTAATGGCTTGAGCAGTCCAGGAGAGGGCCAGGCCGTTTTGGAAGGGGTGAGCTGCTCATCCATGGAGGTGATTAAGAAGCCGTATGACCAGCTGTTTACTAGAGTTTCTGAATTAGCTCGGCCCACATGGGTGTCGAGGGTGGTCCCACTTGTGGCCTGGAGGCGGGGGGGCACAGGCAGCAGGCCCTGCTTACTGGGGTGTGGACACTGGTGCCTGGCGGCCAAGGCAATGACCAGGAACAGCCCTCATCGGTTCCAAAGTCACCAAAGAAGCCAAATGGGGCCAAATGGGCTTAGGTTCAGGGACCTCAAGTGGTGGGGAGGTCCCTGGTGGGCAGAGGGGAGGGGAACAGGGAGCCGGCGGTGCCCCTGAGCCTCGGTGCTGGCATGTGTGGGGGCCTCCGGGAGTGCCCGCAGCCACTGTCACGGTCGGGAACTGGGAACCGTTAAGTTGCGCTTGAAAGTGAAACAGCCGTTTTATCGCCTCCTTTCCCAGTGATTCGCTTCCCCCGAGTGCTCACCCACCACGTCGCCTATCGCCGATTTCGAGAAGCCCCGGAAGGAACTTTACCTTAAAGAAGATGTAATCGTCCTGCACGGTCAGAGAGCCGTGGTCAATGGGGCCTGCGAACAGGGCCGATAGTGTCTTCTCGGAGCAGTTGTGGATGTGACAGGTGACGTAGCGAAAACCTGCAGGAGAGAAGCGCCAGCCCGCGGCGCAGGAGAGGAAACATTCGGACTCCAGCTGCAGAAGAGGCCAGACGCCCCTTCCAATGCTGCTGCGGGGGTTTGTTCGTGGGTCTGGGTTTTGAAGGGCCGGCCCGTGATGACGCCTGCTGCTGAGAGGGCCGCTCTGGGCCAGGTGCACTCCGAGACCGGCCCTGCAGACCTCGCCGGGCGGCGGCGGTGCACCGGAGCGTGCCGCCTCCCAGGGAGGGTCAGTGCGGGCTGCCCGACACAGCCCGGCTCCCCTGCCCTCCTGGAGTCCCCCACACCTGAGCAGGGGTGGAGACGGGTGGGACTCAAATGCTTCTTTTCCCCCTAACTTTAAGCAAATGCTTCTGCCCTTTCCCAGATGTGTATAGCTAAGAGAAACCACAGCTGTGTTTACTCCAAGTGCTTCTGTTTCTCCAGGGCCTGGGGGCTCGGGCAAGTTGACACGGGGGTGGGGGGGCCGGAGCCCTCGAGCCTTGAGGAAGCTCTTCTTCCCAGCTCGTGAGCCAGGACGGGGATTTAGCCACAGGGACCAAAGTGGGCCAAGGGAAGGACACCGAGTGCACAGCGCCTTTGGGGTGTGTCTTGACCATAGCCCAGGGGGGCTGGGCAGCATGGAGAGTGGTTAGAGGCAGGGGCTGGGGGGCCAGGAACATGTGCACCCAAATTCGACCTCTACAGCTCACAGTGGGGGAGGCTCAGCCTTGGGTCCCTCCGTTGCGCAGTGGGATACGTGTACCTCCCAGGGTGCCTTGGGAGTCGCCCACGGCCACACTACTGCCAAGCCCCTCTGGAACCACGCCCATGTCCTATTTAGATAGCCGGTCACCCTCCATGCTTGAACTCTGAATTCCTGCAGTGGACTTGCCTGGCTGGAGGCCCGGCGGGGACGCTCTCTCAGGCCGGACTCGGCCAGCGAGGCACTTGCACGCCCACCCACTCGGTCAGTCCTCATTCACTCACTCCCTCATCTGGGCACTCGCCCACCCCGCCGCGGTCAGGCTCTCACGTTCCAAGGCCTTGTGCCCACGAGACAGGCTGCGTGCTGGGCGCCAAGCCCTGGCCCCCAGCACGGGCCGATTCCGTGGCGTAAACACTCCCACATCCAGATGCGCTGCCTGGATGGAGTCACTGGGCAGGGAGCTGGGAAGGGACGGGGAGCCCGGGCCACCCGCTGCTCTGGAGAGAGGCAGACCGGCCACGAGCACACAGCGTGGCGAGCGCAGGAGAGTCTATCTGTCCATAGCACGTGTTATTTTGTGACATTTTGCACAGTGGTCTCCAGGGGGTGACTCCAGCATCTGACTCGTTGCTTAATTGTTCAGCACCCCCACAGGGGGCACAGAGGTGACGCTACAGGAGCCCCAGGCCCAGGGGAGCATGCAGAGCTGAGATGGGGGACCCGGAGGAGGGGCTGGCAGGGCAGGCTAGGACGGTGGGAAAGGGCCCGGGGTGGGGAGATGGGGGAGCGTTCCCAGCAGGGGTGACCAGAGGTGCAACGTGAGATTGGGGAATGGCCAGAGGAGAGGGCCAGAGGGCCAGAGGGCCAGCCGGAGGGACAACAGGTCCCAGTGCTGTGTCGTCTCACTTGGCCAGACTATGCTGACGGGACACCCGGGCTGGGGTGGCCAGGGCAGGGGTCTCCAGGAGCTTCGGAGGAGGCCCCACCCATGAGCAAGCCAGTCCTGGAGCCCCTCACGCAGGGTCACAGCTGCGGTCTGAGGCTCCCTCCTCGCTGGGGGCGGCTGTGGGAACAGCTGGGTGACAATGGCTGCCCCTCATTTCAGGTTTGAGCCTGTCCTTCCTGCTGGCAGGAGTCCAGGGTATCACAAGAAACGACCACCCCTGCTGTTGCATGAAGACCTGTCAGGGAGTCGCCCCACATTCCCCTGCGAGGCTTGGGGGTTCTGAGTTGGGTGAAGGCCTTGGGAGGTGCAGCGGGGCACGGGGTGTACCCGGCTGGGGCCTGTGACCCCAGGCAAACCGGGACCCTCTCTGAGCTCTGTTCTCCTGGTTATCGAAGTGGAAACTGTAACAACAGCCCGTGTGAGCGCTGAGTGTGTTCACTCACTCACTGCCATTATTCCCATTTAATAGCTGAGCACGCTGAGGCAAGTTGCCCGGGATCCCGCGGTTGGCCAGGGCTGGGAGCTGACCCAGCACTTCTCTTCTAATGGGATGGACACTGCCTGGCAGGGGTCTGGCCCCACAGAGGACCTGTGCAGGGGGCTCTGATGCCTCCAGTCACCACTGTACCTTCCGTCCTCCCAGCGTGCAGGACCTGGGCTCTCTGGGGCACAAGGCCGGCCAGGTCAGTGTGCCCAGGCCCTGTCCCTCCCTCACCCCGCTCAGTGCCCAGAAAGCCGGGCTTGGGGCTGAAGCGTGGGAAGCACTCAGTGGATGCTCAGGGGCAGAACGAATCGCCCTCTTAATAGACTTTTCCACTGGAGCAGAGACCCCTGACTTCAATGTCCTCGGCTGGAAACAAGCACATTTACAATTATGCCACATTGTAACACAGTGAGGTCAGCTGAGCAGGGCAAGCCACGGAGGACGCACGATTGAACACAGCACGGCCGAGCTATGCTGGGGGCGAGGGGACTCCAGGACACCTGGCGCCGGGCTCACCTCCACCGGGGTCCTGGGCCTCCATGTGGACCAAGTCAGGGTCAGCGTCCACCCCAGACACAGCCCTGGAAAAGAAGATTGACGTTGGTGCTGGGAATGGAGTTGCCCCACCTTTCCCACGGCAGCTCCCCGAACCCCAGGTGGCCACTCCTGCTCTGGGGTCCGGAAGACGCTGCCTCCCCGAGAGCCCACCTGCTTCGGAGGGCCGTCGGAGCCTCCGATTCTCCCTTGCGGGAGCCTGGGTGAGACTGGCATTCTTCCGGTCACAATACTGTTTGTAAAAGACTCTCCCCTTCATCAAAGGCTTTCACACCTTGTGCTTGTTTCTGATCATGGAGAACTGGTGCAGGAGACAGGCAGGTGCAGGTGCAAGGCCCACAGTGGCACAGTGTGAGTGGCCGGCCCCGCCCTGGGCCGCTGCTCTGCACTTCCCTGTTGCTCAGCCAACTCGCTCTGTCCAGCACCTCAGGAAGGTTCTGCTCTTGGCCATCCCCCTGCCAAGAGCTCCATGCTGCCCCCAGGACTTGCCTGGGTGCTTCTGGGGGCCACGGCTCTGGGGAGAGGAGCGCGCCTGCTCTCGCAGCACTGACGGCGCGCGCCAGGCTGTCCCCCTCCCGGGGCTGGGCGAGCATGCTGAGGCGGGCATCCTCCTTTGCATTTCACAGGCCGGGGGTTCTGTGACTTGCCGAGGCAGCAAAGCCTGTGGCGCAGGGCTGAGACACCTCTCTCTGCAGACCCCACACGACCCCTGTTCACGCCAAGGTCCTAATGCCTGTGTCCTCCGGGATCTGCCTCTAAGCAGGCGAGCCCTCAGCGTTTGAGAAGCGGGGATGGAGCGGGTAGCCTTGCCAACTGGCTGAGCCTCACAGACACCTCCAAGAGCCAAGTGGGCCCTGGGGACAGAGAGAAAGGGGACAGAGTGGCTGCCCCCCGGAGGCTCCTGTGTTAGGACGAGGGCCTGCACTCCCCCTCCCCTCCCCGACTCCTCTCCTGCTTGGTGCTGTCCTGCTGGGCAGAGCCACTTAGCGGGCAGGAAGCTTGGGGGCAGCGCCAAGACCTAGGAGTCTCTACTGCACACGGCACATCACCTAAACCCACGCAATAGCTACAGTGGCAAGTGCGCAGGGGCAGGGGACATCCTAGGTGCTCGAGTTGCCTCATCTCACTTGGTGCAGAGTGACTCCAAGTGGTTTGGTTACACCCATTTGACATGGGGAAGCCAAGGCTCAGAGAGGTGAGAACACATCCACGTCACACAGCTAACAGACCTAAGACGTACAGCCCAGGTCCTGCAGTTCCCAAGCCAACATGCTTTCCTCACACAGGCTGCTTCCTGGCTGCGCACAGCGTGGTGCGTGACAATAACCCAGCGAAGGGATAGCGGGCGGGGACAGCTGTGTCCCGGTGCCCTGCCCTCAGTCCAGAGTCTGGGTGGAGTCCACACTTGCCACGCCCCCTTTGTCCCAGGCTCTCCCTGTGCTCTCACAGGCTGCCCGCCCACGTGGGGCCAGCTGGAGGTGGAAACCCCCTCTTACCTTCTTGGACACTCTCCGCGGGCAGTTCCAGTAATTACACTGGCACCACTTCTGCCTTGGATTTATGTGGCACCTCTCCTCCCAGCACTGGAGAGCCAGTAATGGCAGGGCAAAGGGCACTGCTCAGGGTTAATGAGTCTGAAGGCCTCGCCAGCGAGGGTGATCCACCCATTCCATCCAATCACTCCGTCAGCATAACTGCCCATGCCGGTGCTCCATTCACCTGTACTAGGCCATGTCCCTGTCAACCTGCCCTGTGTGTGTAATAAAAATCTGGAGAGCGCTCACTGGAAGTCAGGGGTTGAGGGCTCAGAGATGAACAAGACATAGCCTCTGCCCTCCAGGAGAGCACAGGCTAGCAGGGAGGCCATATGAAACAACTACCTGTCCACCACATGTCCCATCTGTCTATCCATCCATATGTTCATCCATCCATGCATTTATGCATGTATGCATCCATCTATCCATGAATGCATCCATCCATGTATACGTCCATTCGTCCATACATTCATGCATCCATTCAGCCATCCATCCGTACATCCATCAATCCATGCATCCATGAATACATGCATGACTCTTGCATCCATCCATCCATGCATCTATCCATGAATTCATCCATCTGTGCATCTATCCATCCATGAATCCATCCATTCATCCATGTATGCCTGCATGATTCATCCATCCATCCATGCATCTATCCATCCATCCTCCACCTATCCATACATCCACCCATGCATCCAGGCATCCATCCACCCATTAATCCATCCACCCACCCATGCATCCATCCATCCATTCACCTATGCATGAGCATCCATCCATCATTTACTGAGCACTGACTATGAGCTGGTCCAGGGCTGGGGCTGGATATATAGAGATGCACTTGGCAGGTCCCTGCCCTCCATAGTCTCACAGTCTGGAAAAAGGTCTGTTAACATTTTTCCTAGGCCCAAACTCTTTAGGACTCAAGTTGGCAAGAAACCACGCGGGCTGGTCATGTCAGGGCACAGTCTGTTGCTGAGCAGCCTCTCATCGCACAGGCAGGGGACAAGGCTGGGACAGGAGGAGGTTCTTTCCCATCCTTACAGAATGAGAACAGATCTTCCTCCATGAGTGGATGGAAACCAGTTCTTTGGGAGGCTACAGTCTTACTGACTAGGGAGTGTGTGCACGGCACATAAAAGGTGTTTATACGTGCTTTTCAATGAATGAATGAATGAGATGTAAAGAGAAAGGGAGGAAGGTGAAAGGACGACCATTCTTTGAACGCCAGCCATGTGCTGCACATTGAACTGAGCACTTCATAGTCGTCGCTTATTTCCCCCACGGGACCGTGGGGGACGGAGCCTCCGCCTCGGAGATGAAAGGGCAGAGGCTGAGAACGCTGCAGGCATTTGTCTTGTGTCCCACAGAAACCTTGGAGGTTCCTTCCTCTCTCCCTGCCCCCCCCCCCTGGTGTTTGGCCTGAGCAGGGGGAGGAGGAGGAGTGGGGAGCAGATTTGGGGGATCCAGCGCTTCCACCAGGCTCCCTGGCACGTACCCTGAGCGACCAAGTGGCCATTGGACACTCATGCCCGGAATGTAGGTGGCATTTAAAGCCATGCTCTTGGAAACGCTCGCCTGGGGACAGGTGGGCATGATCTTGAGGCACACAAGGTGGCCCTCTGGCCAGGCTCAGAGTGGCTCTCTAACCATCCCTCCGACTGTGGCCTGGGCTGACGGACGAAGGCACCAACCACCTGCCTCATTCACCCCTGTGTCCTCAAGGCTACACAGATATAGGCCACATGGCAAGTCGTGGCGCAGGACTGCCCCATCGTGCTGGGACCTGAATGGCCCTTACGACAACTCCCACAAGTGCTGCGTCCCACACTTCACAAGGCACCTTCAGAGACATTGGCCTATCTGAGCCGAAGCTAAGTGTCCACCTTGTTGGCACTGAGCATGCCGTGACAAACCAGCTGAATGTCCTGCAGTCAGGGGCTGTGTGGGGACACCAGGGAGGAGCCTGACTTGAGAGAGGGGCTCCAGCCTGGGCTTAGGCTGGCAGAGCCCACTTTCAGCTCCGTCATCCCTTTGCCGTGGGAGCGTGAGCAGTCACCGCACCTCTCTGGGCCCGGGTTCCATAGCCCTGGGATGGCACGAAAACACCTGTCTCACAGGGTTTCTGAGGGTCTGAGCCTGTGGAGCCCCTGCAACGAGGCCTGAGAAGAATGGGACAGAGGACGCGTGCTAGGGTCACAGCTCCATGGCTGGCCCTCCAGGGAGGGCAGGGATGGAGTCTAACTTTGGCACTGTACCCAGCACCCGCCTGGCACAGAGGGGGTGTGCGTAGTTTTGGAATGAAAGGAACCTTGGCGAGGATCAGGGCCAGGGTTTCCCACAGCAAGCACCAGCTCCCAGATTTTACTGCATGCGTGTGTCTACCTGCCACTGTCTTTACTGAACACGCCCCTCTGCTTAGCCTCCTGCTGACGAGACTGCCGAACTCACGGCTTTGATGGGCCAGCATGTTTGTTGCCATATACCTTCCAGCCAAGGTGACCATTAAAAATCACTAATCCATCCACTAGAGCAACCCTTCTCGTGGACGAGGAAGTCACTTCCCGGGTCACCAGCCACTGAGTGCCAGGAGCCTCCCTGTAGGTTGCTGAGATGTTGGGCGCAGCGCCCACCCCATGGCCCCGCCCTCTCTCTGACAGTCTCAGCATCTTTCCCACCTGCTTGGCACCAGGGTCCCCATTTGCTTCACCTCCTTTAGGGACCTGGTCCACCCAGGAGGCCCCAGGCGAAGCCAGAGGGACAGGGGAAATCCGTAAGTGGGTCTGAGCGACACAGATGCACAGTGTGGCGCGAGCCGGCTCCCTGAAGTCCATTGATGTTTCAAACCCTGGAGCGCCGGCATCAATCACTGCGCTCTCGGTAAAGAGCTCTCAACTTCAAGGTGAAGTGTTGATTTAGGCTTTTGTGAATAGACTGTTTGTGAGCTCCTGGGAAGGGAGGTCTCCTGCTTGACATTTCTCTCTTCTGAATACAGACACTGTTCTCTTTACCAGGAGGTCCCCAGCCAGGCAGATGGAATTTCAGTCTGACAACCCATCATCCGCAAGTGGGTTAATGACGCCGGGCCTGTTCCCCAGCTCACTCGCTCACTCACTCGCTCACTCACCCACTCATTCATTCGCTCTATCATTCACTCATTCATTCATCGCTTGCTCGCTTGCTCACTCACCTTTCACCCCATAAACGCGTCCAGTGACCACGTTCATGCCCTGGGTCTCCTGCCCTGACCACTCTCGCACACCCTGTCACAGCGAGCCTGTGAAGGCTCCGGGTGGGCACGGGAGTACAGGAGGCCCGTGCCCAGCACCGCCCCAGGGAGCCCTGGAAGACCACGTGAAGCTGCATTTCTAAGCCCTCAGACGGAGCCTGGTTCCCTGCAGGAAATGACACCTGCTGATGCAAATGCCTTCTTGTTTGCTGAGGTCTCCAAAGGTGGTCCTGGCCTGGCTCTGGAACAGTGTTTAGAAATGACAAGCCCACAATGACCCCCAGGCAAGCAGCCTGGGAGAGCGTGAAGAGGTCTGGGGTGCGGAGACTGATTTTCACCCCAGTTTATGCAGAGGGCAGCTCTGATGAACCTCAGAGACATGGTCCCAAGGCTGCGGTGGAAGGACCCTTCCTTCTCCTGACAGAGGCCCTGGCCCCCACGTGCACCAGCTGGGGCAGGCACGGGGCTGACAGGACAGGGGGCAGAAGCTTCCTGTGGGCACGCGTGGGGCTGAGTGGGGAAGGCACGCAGGAGCCCCAGGTGATGGGCAGCAGCCAGACTGCCAGGCGGGGCCACTGGGCACTGTCAGCTGCGGATCACTGCTCAGGGCTACTGCTGAGGGGCAGCATGACCTAGAGCAGTGCCCCACCCTCTCTGAGCCTCAGTTTCCCCCCCGGGGTGTGAGCTGGATGGGGATTCCATGGGATGATGCATTCAGACTCCCCACCCACTGCCTGGCGATGGTTAGCATTCACAATGTGGCAGCTCTGGGGCCACTGTTACGATTTTGTTCCGGGCCATGGACAGACTAAGGGGAGGGTGGTGGGCAAGGGCCTATGTGGGCCAGGAGGCAGCAGAGCACCTCGGGCTGCCGCCCTGCCTGCCCGGAAGTCTGTTCTAATGAGCGCGCCTGTTGTGTGGCTTCGCGGAACGTCAATGAGTCCACGATTCAGACAGAACACAGGGCTTTGGCAATTCCTGCTGTCAGTTCAAGGACAAAAGCTCCTTGGAAATGCTGTCAAAACAGCATTATTCACTGCTTACAATAGGGGGGCCCCCATCACCGCGGCTGTCACCACATTCCAGGAGAGATCCCAGGGCCCGAGTGGCCAAGCGTCTGGTATGATTCTCTCTCATGCGTAACAACTCTGGGCGATTTGAGAAACTCGGGGGAAGAAATAATTTGATTTGCCTGAGACAATAACATGTTTGAATTATGGCCAATTTCCCTTTTAGTATCTGCAGGCCGGTTTCTCTCTGGCTGGAGAGGTCTCTGAGAGTCTGACCGGGGCTGGGGCTGGACGCAGAGCTCGCCGGGGCTCAGGGCTCAGAAATCCCACCGCCTTGCCCTGCTCCCACCTCCTGGGAGCCCTCAGGGCACCAGCGCCCCCTTGCTGGGTAGCTCTGGCTCCTGGCAGTTGACAGCACTGACAAGGCCAGTGATTGATGGCAGCACTCTGGTTTCTGAGGAAGGAACTGGACCCTCCCGTGGGCAGCCCGTGGAGACACAGCCATCACATGTCCCCATGAGCAAAGGGCATATGCAGAGGGCCAACATTCCAGAGGAGAGACAAAGATTCCCTTCAGCCCATGGGATGTCAGGAACAAGTCCCTGGCTGTGCTTGGCTTGAAGTTGCATGTGATGCAGGGGGGCGGGGAGCCCTTTCCATAGTGCTTCTTTGCCAGAGAGACAAGGCTGAGGCTGGCCCGGGAGGCCTGTGCAATAGTTTGTTGCACAGATGAGACAAGGAAGAGAAAGGGCAGGAATGGGCACGTGTGTGTGTGAATGTGTGTGTGCATGCACAAGAAAGAGGGATGCGGTGGGCAGAGCACGCATGTGACTGGGTGCATCTCGAAAAGCAGTTTAGCCAGAAGAACGCGCCCTGGCCGCAGCTGGAGGTGGGCAAACGTGGGCTCGGAGCCAGCTGCACTAGGCTCCTGGCTCCCATCCCGCGGCCTGGGACCTTGGCAAGGGCTCTTCCTCCGAGAGTCTCGCTTATGCCTCCAGCAAACTCTGCTTGAGGAAACTTCGGTTTCCTCGTCGGTGCAATGAGACTAGAATGCCGCCCACGAGACAGGAAGTGAGGAGCCAACACCAGCTGGTCTGGACTCAGGGCCTGGCTTGCGCTTTGCTGGGCTGGGAGCCCCCACCCCGCCTGCATTCACCCCTTTCCTTGGCTTGGCTGCTCAGTAGGCTGGGGGGTGGGTCTGGGGCACCCCAACAGGCCCAGCAGGGTGGCAGATGGGCAGTGGGGGGAGCCCAGGCAACACCAAGGCGGGAGGGGCAGCTAGTCAGGGGCTGGGCCCGGAGCTGGGCAGGAGGAGGGAGGTGAGAGGGAGTTGGGCCTACTGTGCGCCAGGCACTGTGCTGCGCTTGTGCACATCAGCACCTCTTTCAGCTGAGGAGGAAACAGAGGCTGCAGGAGAGAATATTGGCCGTGCAAACCACACAGCTGGGTCAGGCACAAACATGGCCTAAGGGACGCCAATCCCCAGACTCGTCACCATTTCTGATACCGCCCCAGTGCAACAGAAAGAACAGCTCTGGAGGTCCCTGGATGAGGAGGGTGTGGGGCTGGGGACAAGGCAGCAGGAGGTGGGACCCCGGGCTGGGGGGCCTGAGGAGCAACGGAGAGCCGCTGGCCCTTGCCCTCGCGGGATTCCTCGATCCTAGCGGGGAGTGCTCTCACCAGAACACATGGTCTTTGGTCACTCGCTCCTGCAGAAGCGTCCATTTCTTCCCCAAGTCAGATGACACATAGAGCTGCAGGACAGAAAAGAAAGAAGCAAAGGTTCGGTGGTGCCTTCAGGACTGAGCCGCTGCCTAGAGAGTGTGGTCTCCCTGTTGTGCTGACCTTCCTAGGGGGAGCCAGCCTTGTCCCGCAGACGCACAGGTCTGTGCTCATGCTCGAGGTGCAGAGGCACACCTGAGAGGTCTGGGGAGAAGAGCCACTCCCGCCCCAGCCCAGCAGGTTCTCCAGGGTGAAATCCAGGGTCCTCCCAGAGGAGGTGTCTGAGCCTTTGACACACAGCAGGGGCTTCACAATACCTGTCGGGGGGCAGCGGGGGGCGTTTGGGAGGACGGAGGAGGGAGGGTGTGTGCAAAGGGCTGTGGTCAGATAGATGTCTCAGGGAGCCCTGAGGAGGCCAGGCCTGGGCCCAGCCAAGGACAGCAGCCCAGTGCAGAGGGGGACAGGCTCGGGGACAGGCCTGCCCAGGGAGAAGACAGGCCCTAGCAGGAGCGGGTAGGGCAAGGAGGGTGAGAGGGCCCCGGGACTGTGCCCCAGACCTGCGAGGAGTGGACAGGGCCAGGGGTCCTCGGGCCCTAGCCTGGGGATCTGGGTGGAGACAGGACCTCAATCAAGCAGAGTGAGTTTTGGAAATGCCAAGTGGCAGTGGCTGGGCCCCAGAGCGAGACCCAAAGCTGCCCCTTCCCCACGATGGCCTGTGGGATGGGGCTTCCCCTCCTTCCCGATGAGACAGTCCAAGGGGACCTGAGACTGAGGATGGGTGGTGGGAGGAGCATCTCTGGTGCAGTCCTCTGTGCCATACCCAGCCCCGCTGTGTCGGCGGTGGGACTTAACAACTCCATTTCCAAATGAGAAACTGGTGAGGGGTGCAGGAAACGCTACCAAATTATAACATCTTAGAAATGGGGAAACAGCAGAAGCACCTTCCCCCCTTCCTCCCTGAAGCAGGCCCTAAATCCTAGGAAGGGCCCTCTGACCTCCGCCCTCCCTTCCCCTTGGAGACCCTCATGTGACAGCTGTCCTGTCCCACACCCAGAGGGAAGGAGTGTCACGCAGGGAGGCTGGAAGAACCTGAACGTCCTCACTAAGCTGCCCCCCAGTTTATTCCCATCAGATCACACCCTTCTGTCCTCTAATCACACGTCCACAGGACTGTCCCGTCTTCCTCAAACCCAAGCAGAAAAGTACACAATCTTCCTGTCTCCTTGGGTCTTCATTTCTGAAGGCTCCTGGGCCACATAAAACTTCTACTAAATTAATTTGCTGTGCTTTTCTCTTGGTACTCTGTCTTTTGTTGTGGGGTCTCCACCACGAACCCTGCAGTGGATGGGGAAAGATCTCACTTTGTCTCCCTACGCTGGGGCTCAGAGAGCAGGTGTGATAGCCCTGAGGTGGCAGCGCTGGGTGTGCGGCCCTGCCTTCCAGGACACTGACTCCATGGGCAGCCGCCATCCCCTGGAGGCCAAGAGTGGCTGCATTCTAAGTGTCACCTGGCTCAGGAGAGCTGAGCCAGGCTGAGCAGGACAAGTGGAAGTCCGAGGTCCTGAGCAAAGGCCATGCTGTTCCCTCCTTCCTCCAGCCCTGGGGTGTCATCTGCTGTCCTCAGCCACTTCTGGGGTAGACCTCCTTTCCCCTGTTGCTCCTCTGGCCCTTCCAATGCCCTTGTGAGCAATTCCCTCTGTTAAATTCCCTCTGTGTGAGATACCTGGGTAGGTTTCTGGTTTCCTCACTGGACACAGCTGTGTGGCATCTGGCCAGCATCTGGGGATTGTGGGGGGTGTGTGGCTAGAGGAAGGCAGAGGCCATTCCAGGTGGAGGGAATAACCGAGAACAGGCCCCCAAGCGGGAGGTGCCAAGTGTGCCCAGCGCACAGTGGGTCTGGCTCCAGGGTGCTGGGCCTCAGACGGTGCCAGGGGCAGGCTGGAGGATGGGGCAGAGCTCCCACTTCATCTTCCAGGGCTGGGCAGTCAAGGAAGGGCTGTGAGTAGGCGGTGAGAGCTTCTCTCACTGGGAAGGACCTCTGTCTGCTCTGGGGGCAGAAGGATGGATGGCGGGGGGTGGGGGGGTCCTGTGGAACAGAGCAGTCTGGCCTCCTCTCTCTGCAGAGAGACCAGGCCAATCTCCCAACAGTGAGGCCAGGAAACCCGAGGCCGTGGCCTCCAGCTGTGGAGCCAGCCAGACCTGGGCTCCCACCCTGCCTGCAGCCAGGCACCTGGGTGAGCCTTTGTCTCCCTCAGCTGTGACATGGGGTGACAATGCTCACTCGGAAAGCCTGGAGGATTCAGCTGGGTCCCAAGGGACGGCAGCCCAGCACGTGCCTTTGCAGCGAATCCGCAGCCCACTGCCCTTTTCCACCTTGGGAACCGGGCGTTCCTTCTCCTTTCCTTCCTGCTCTGCGTGTCCGTTTGCATTTCAGGAAGGTCCAGTGACTGTAACTGATGTCCCAATTCCACCGTCTTGGATTTGTGTTACTTTGTGGGGGATTTTGCCGGTGTCCCCGGGGGAAGGGGGTGTTATTGACATAGTAAAGCCTCCCTGCCTTCCTGAGAGGAGCGTGGGCTTTTGGGTCCTTCGGAAGTCCTCCCTCTCACACAAGGAACTGGCTCAGGCCGGCCAGGACCCTGCGGGTGCCTGCGGCATGGGTGTGGTTGACCAGGGCTCAGGCTGGGCGGGGAGTTGGGGGCTGCAGCCAGGCGTGGCCTCTGCCTCCTTGCCTGGCCACCCTGTCCTGTCCTCGCTTCAGTTTCCCCGTGTATAAGACCATGCCCCACCCCATAACGTTTCAGAGGGGAGAGAACTTGGGGACCAGCAGGCCTGGCTCCTATCAGAGTTCACCGTCCACAGCTGCATGGTCTCGCATGTGTTCCAGAGCTGTTCTGAATCTCAGTTTCCCAGCTCTTTAAAGCAAGAGTCCAGACTCCTGCCTTAAAGGGGTGCTGTGGGTCGCCCCCGGCGCCGTTGCGCAGGGCTGCCCTTGCCGTGCACTCAGCCCGCAATAGCAGGGTCCGCTCTGTGCACACGCACACGCCAAGCCCTTCACCTCTCGGCGCACCCTCACCATGGCTCCAGGAAGTGGACGGTTTCTAAAATCCGTTTTGTAGAAAGAGGACGGCCGCTAATAGCAGCTGAGTGATTTGCCCAGGGCTGTCCCCTGTCAGAACCTGGATTTGAATTAGCTATGATTTTGATGTGATTTGAATGTCCGTCCCTTTATTCCTTCTGCAATCCAGATGTGTCCAGAACGAACCAGTCGAGCGGAACAATTTCTATCATGGGCCCTCGAAAGGAGGGGAGCTCAGCCGATCCCTTGGCCTCAGCTAGGGCAGCCCAGTCTCTCCACCTGCAAAGCGGTGCGGCCGTCACGCTAATGGTTGCCAGGCCTGGCGCCCACGTCTGCGGCCTCAAGGCTGGCATGACTTTTCTTCACCGTGGGCTCCTTGTCTACCCCAGCGTGCCCTTGCTGTGGGCACTAAGTCACGAGGCACCAGTGAGATCCTGGATATTGTCACCGCTGCTGTGGCGCCTGCCGCCACTGCTGCTCATCACAGAAGGACTATGGACTCTCAGAGGGGGTGGCTCATCAGGTGCACCCTGAGCTCAGCACGGCAGATGTGGCCCCGTCCTCCTGGAAGCCCACCCAGCCCTGCCCAGTGCCAATCACCCTACTCCTGCCGCCAGCTTCTAAGGCCAGCGCCCTGGCCTCACTGGGTCTATTCTGCCACGTCCAATAGGTCACCACGCTCCAGATACAACTGTGTAGCCCATGCCTGCTGCAGGCCACCTCCTCTCCACCCACGGCCACAGCCCAGCTGGGCCACGCTGTCTTCATGGCCTCCTATGGCTGCAGAGCACACACCTGGCCACGCTGCTCTCCTGCTCAGACCTCTGGGGGATGTGTACAGCCCGCTCCTGTAGCTGGGCACATGGCCCCCCTGAGGCCGCCAGGCCCCCTCCAGCTGCTGTCCCTGCTCACTCCCTGCATGCCAGCGCCCCAGGCACAGCTGGCTCAGGCTCACTTATGCTTGTGGCACTGATGTGTACACAGAGTCCTGTGAGCATCTGCACCTACTGTTCCCTCTGCCTGGAATGCCCTTCCTCCTCCCTGGTCAGTGTTCTGACTCAGTTAAAGTTGCCTCCCCCCCTGCCTTTTTTTTTGAGGCAGGGTCTCTCTCTGTTGACCCAGTAGCGTGCAGTGGCGTGATCACAGCTCACTGCAACCTCAAACTCCTGGGCCCAAGCAATCCTCCTGCTTCAGTTTCCTAAGTAGCTGGGACTACAGGCACGTGCCACCATGCCTAGCTAACTAAAAAAATTTTTTTGCAGGATGGGGTCTCACTATTGTCTAGGCTGGTCTCGAACTCTTAGGCTCAAGCGATCCTCCCACCTTGGCCTCCCAGAGTGCTGGGATTACAGGCGTGAGCCACCGCGCCAGGCAAGTCACCCACTTTGGTGAGGCCTTTGCTTGGGCCGCTTGTGCAGAGGCCTTGCCCTTGGCATCGCAGCGTCAGGGCCAGAACCTGGTCTGTGAAGTCAAAGAGGCTGTGCTCAGGCCCGGGGCAGCAAGGAGAACCAGCCTGCGGTGCCGTCTTCTTTGCTGGACACCGAATCCCACGGCCAGCGATGGCCACGCCAGGGAAGGGACCCCACGGGAGCGTCCCCTCTTGCAACACTCAGAACCCTGTGTCTCTGGCCTTTAGCGCCTCACATCCCAGCCTGCTCTGCGCGTCCCTCGCCCCATGCCCGTCGCCACTGGGCCGACTTCACCGCCTCGGCCCCTGCTGGTGCGAGGCCTGCAGTCTGGGCTCCTCTGCCACACAGAGGCCACGCCCCTGGTGGCTCCCTCTGCCCCTGCACCTGCCCTCTCCCAGGAGTGCCCCTGCTGTCCAGCAGGCTGCATGGCTGCCCGTTTGTACCCTCACCGTCTGCTCTCCACCCCACCCTCATCTGGAAAGAAAACCCCGCACGGGCAGGGCGTGTCTGCTTTGCTCCCAGCTGTTGCTCCAGCTCCTGAACC